CACACTTATTTTACTCTTTCTAAAGCCAGACGATTTCAAAAGGTGCATTTAATGGGGCGTTTGCTTATATGTACTTTGTGATACCTTTGACAAGTGACATTTTTTCAGTGTTAAGACATAATGGGGGTACATTTGCAGGGCACAATTTGGTTTTTACTTATGCCAGACAATTTTACTTGTCAATGGGGAAGCTCTGCAGCTTAACCCATTGAGTCGCATTGCACTCTGATGCACCCTACTTTAGTATTTTACTCTGTCTAACGCCAGACAATTTTATTCATCAAGGGGAGAGCGCTGGCGCTTAATGGGTTAACTGGCCTATCTGCCCATGTGTCTAGTTAACCCATTGAGTCGCATTGCACCCTGATGCACCCTACTTTAGTATTTTACTCTGTCTAATGCCAGACGATTTTACTCGTCAAGGGGAGAGCGCTGGCGCTCAATGGGTTAATGGTTATTAGGTGAAACTTAACTAATAAGCTAACTACTGGAGATCTATTTTAGCTCTAAACTATTCTCACTAGAGGTCACCACGCGACCAACCACCATGCGACCAACACTTCACCCAGTGGTTATTTCATCTTCAAGCAAACCATGTACTGCAGTTATTTACTTACATTGGAATTGAGAGATCACTCAATGCATTGAGAGCCAAAATTGTATGGAGAGCAAAACATATCGATGGAAGAAGAAATTTTTTTGCCCTATAAAGATTTGATACATACTTAGGTTGGTAAATAGTTTCAGCATGTCTTGGTTGTACAAGCTGTACAAATCTCAACTTATTAGCAAGATGTGTTTGTAACAGGCTTGTAGCAAGCTTGTCAACAAGTTGTAACAAACCTGTTAATATTTCATCGTGTTTGCTACAAGATTGTCACTCACAACTTGGTGACAAATTGTTGAATTGCAGGACGATAACAAGTTGTTGAAACAACCTGTAACAAGTCTGTTGAGCTCAACAGCCTTGTAGAGCAGTGTGAACACATTCCTGTTGACAAGTTGCTGGAACAGCATTGCTACAACTCGGCTGCAGATTTGTTACAACTTGTGCGTTTTTATGTGTATGGCAAAGCGTAAGCCTAGCAGTATGTTCGTTACAGATTCAAGGCAAGTGTGCATGAGTTTTAAAAGTTTGTACAAGCATCACAGACAAATTACTATTAAGCCTGTACACAAACAAAAATGTATGCAAACAAAAATACAACAACAAATGTGTCATCATTCATCAGCAAGCTAGCTTTGCTTACCTTTCCAAGGTATAAGCAGAAATATTAATGAGATTACTTCGGCGACATATTTCTAGTCCGAGAGCAGTACATGTGACCTGGGCTAACATAATCACTTCAGGGTAACGGTAATCAAATGTTGTCAAAACAATCTACACAAAATTATGTAGATTGAATTACATCAGGATTAGTAAACTCGTTAAATTAAGCTACAATATTATTGGACCCTATAGCACACTTGATTTTAATATTGCAAATTGTTTCAAAATAAATACACACTAGTACATTGTTATTTTACTCAGCCTATTGCCAGTTGATTTTACTTAGTGTAGTTACACTAGTATATTGTGTTCCAAAGTATGACTCATCTGTTATAGTTACATGTCTTTAGTAATTGGGCAATAAAGGGCACAGCAAAGTTTCTACTTTAGTGAGGTGCCCATTTTATAGAGGTTTGTTTTAAAAAAACAATATATTATATAGATACATGGGAAACTGGTTGTATTAGAAGGTATCTGAGTTACAGAGGTACTGCCTGTATTAGAGGGCCGGGTTTCTGTATTAGAGAGCTTTCCATTTTCCATGTTAGAGAAGTGTTCATATTATAGAGGTGGCCGTATTAGCAATAATGCCGAACTCATCATTGTCTGTGTCACAGACGCAATACAGGCTACCCTGATCAATAAACAAGCTTTCGTTGGTATGTATGCAACTACCTGAAAAATATAAGGAGAATTTCGAGGGAAATAAGGCTCTTCGTGACGTCGAAATTCTCCTTATATTTTTCAGGCAGTTGCATCCCTACCAATGAAAGCTTGTTTATATTATTGCCACTACCTACACTGGCAAAGACAATTCAAGATTGTACCTTGATCATTCCCTGAATAATAAGTATACTCCTTGTATATACGAAACTCACTTTATTTATAAATGACATTGATCCCGATACAATTCCATAAAATACAGCAGCAGCCACGCCTCTGTACCAGTTTATACTTCTAATGCTTGTGTCAATATCTTTTAAGCTTGGAACCTTCATCGTTGATTTGGTTAGATTCTTTTCAACCTGCAGAAGTCGTCAAGAGGAGACTCTTAGATGCTAATAGGTTCATAAGCCATTGAGTTGCGATGCTTCCTAGTATGACTTACTTTGTTATTTGACTGTATCTATAACAACAGATAATTTACTCATCATTTGGGATGGTAATAACCCTCACTGGTTACTAGCAATGTTTCGTGTTACGGCTGTTTGCAAGCTACCATTAGGTGTACGATTTTTTTCATGTTTGTTTACGTTTTAAACGTTCAGGTTTTGACCGGGAAAACATGAACGTTTTGAGCAAGCCAATCAACGTTTGCCACGATCTTAGCAAAGTTTCATTGAACACACCGCCAAACGTTGATTGGCTTGCTCAAAATGTTAGCGTTTTCCGGTCAAAACCTGAACGTTTGAAACATAAACAAATATGAAAAAAAATTGCACGCCTAATGGTAGTTTGCAAATAGCAGTAACTAAAATACAATGTACCCTTGTGTGCAGTTTACGTACCCTAGCAATATCTCACTTTACTCTTTTGCTCTCGTGCACATTTCGTGGTGTTCGGCAGCAATGGGTCATTCCAGAAACCATCTGCATTTCCTCATGGTGGAAATCGGTATAGTTAATATCTCTACCCCTATTACCATAAGTAGATTCTACAGGGGCAGTGTAGATCTTTTTTGGAATGACCCAATGCACACTAATTTGACCATGTTTATTTAACACCTCTTTTCCATTCATCGCAAGAGTCAACTCACAAGCTCGTTGCAAGTTCTTTCAACCAATCACAATGCATGTCAAACTATTTTAAGAATACAAGCACTCGCAGCGAGCTTGCAACTTGGTTTTGCGATGAGTGGAAAAGAAAAGCACTCGCAGCGAGCTTGCAACTTGGTTTTGCGATGAGTGGAAAAGAACCTTTATGCCAGATTATTTTACTCATCAAGACCGGGAAATAATAATATGTATAATGCACATATCAACGTCCTGCCCGAGGGGTACACCCCCGGGACAACCGGGGGGGAAACGAGGGGGAATTTGGAAATTTAATCAAATCACAATTTGAATTTTATAAGTGAAGTGCACAATTGGTGCAAACTCAAAATCGCAGGCTCACGGAGAATTATGATATTTTGTAGTGATCTTGCTAAAATTTGAATAAATAAATACAGAATACATTCATGAGTGCCATTGTGATACCCCATTTTGTATGATAATTTTTAATTGTTTGCATGCTATTTATATTATGAACTACTTTATTCTAAGCCCCAGGGGAGGGCAGTTTGACTTAGACATTTCCTGGGGAGGGAGGGGGAATTAATGCATTAGAATCATGTTTTTTCAAAGTCCCAGGGGTGTACCCCCAGGGCAGGCCGTTGATATGTGCATAATATTATTATATTTATTACAAATTGTTTTTTGCAATAAGATTTGAAAATTAAATAGTTACAAAATTCATGGGAAACTTTGCAGCTATTAAAGCTTAAAGCCATCTAAGAATAATATACTGGGAAGAATATATTCAGTACAAACGTGTGAACGTTGAGTTAGCACAGATTTATTATAGAAAAAAGTTTTGGCATGACCATTAATAACATGTTTATAATAATACACTTTTAACAAATTAAAATATTTAAATTCAACATTGTTTTAATACATTGACAAAACTTTCGACATCACAGTATAAAGTAAACACAGTTATTGACAAATCTACTTACATATAATATTATGGTGAAATATCCTGATAATAATCCGTATTAATCGAAGGCTTACCAATTTTCAGATGATTATAAGTATTAATTCCAACTAATACAGTACAAGTCGAGGAACAAGTATTTTGGCATGCACATTATAAATATTTTCACAACATGCCACGTCTCAATAATTGATGAGCATTATAAATCTTTATTAATTAAATAGATTCCAGTCTATTCTAAAATCGTTATACTTTATAAATCACGAAAAGCATTGTTTATTTGTTCATAGAAAAAACAGATTTTATGAAAAAATGTTTATTAATGTCATTAAAAAATGTTGCAGTAAAAAAACACGTTTTGTTCTTGCTGGTAATTTTGATTTTTGAACGATGCCACGATGGATGAGTGACAATTTTGAACTAAAAGGGATAGGTAGGTACATAATAACGCGGGACCATACGTGAATTTATTAACAATAAGGAATAAATATAGTCAACATAGGATAAAGTTGTGCAATATCTAGGGACATTTGCTAAAGGAACACATATTGTAAACAATGGATAAACATGGGAAGGGATTAATGGGAATGTGAATGGTGTTTATGTACTAAAGGGGATACATGTTGTAAACATAGGATAGAAAAGTATAAAGTGGAGAAACTAGGGAATACAAGGAACATTTGTTATCAAAAATGGATTAATGTAGTAAATATATGATAGATTGGTATAAATGGGAATAATTCGGGAATGTAATGGACATTTATGAACAGAAAAGAATAGATATAGTGAACAATGGATAAGTAAGTACGAATTGGAGTAACTAGGGACTAGAAAGAACATTTATGAACAGAAAAGGATAAATATAAATAATATAGGATATATTGGTACAAATGGGAATATGTATGGATATTTTGGAATATACCGGTATAAAACGGACTCCGTAAGGCTATTCATGGTTAACTGTGTATATTGATATACAACCAGAGATATATATCGTTGGCAATACAGCGGGATCGGCGGGAAATTTCTTGGCCGGGTGGTGGTGATTGCTTGATGACTTTTCAAAATTTTGTTGTTCCTTTCCCGTCTTTGCTGTACTATTCATTCAAATAGAGCACGAAATAACCTTGATTTCGTCTCAAATACAGCATGGAACTTGCAACAATCTTAGAGGCAACAGTTTCACAAGGTAAGACGTCGAAAAAGCGCGAGACTTTTGAAATATATGCTCGATAAGGTTCATGCTTTTTTGTAGTGAATTTCGAACCCACATGGAAAACGAAAGCTGACATTTTTCGAGCATTGTTTGCTGTTTTTAGATAAAGCTAAACTTGATCAAGCAGAGAAGTTTTTACAAGAAGCAGCCCAAGCTAATTTAGTAAGTATTGTAAATAACTTTGTACGAAATTGTCATATTAAGTACAATATTAATTTGAATTTTATACAAAGGTGAACCGCCAAGAAATATTCATAATTGTAGCCTAACATTATTTTGTCTTGTTTTTATAGCCACAGTTTTTGGTAGCTCTAGCAAGCGAGCTTTCAAATGCAACCAGGAGTGAAGTATGTCGTATGGCTGCAGCATTGCAGTTGAAAAATCAGTTAACATCAAAGGACGAGCATGTCAAGTTAGCATACCAACAAAGATGGTTAGCTTTAGAGGATCCTGTCAGGATAGCGGTGAAAACACAGGCAAGTATTGTCAATATATATTGCCTTGTCAAAGACAACCATATACATTGTATGGGATGAAACTTGTGTACAATAGATAAACTATTAATAATAAGATTATACACAGGAAAAAATTTAAATTCCATTTAATGGTTTTTGAATGGTTTTTAAAGATTTACCATGTATACTATCATAATTGGTTATTATAGATTTCCCATATTGTAAATTGGTAAAAAAAAACAATGATTAATATTTACCATTTATGGTATTTCCCTATGGTATTTTCCTGTGCACAGGAAAATACCATTAATGGTAAAATATTAGACATGGTTTTTACAAATTTACATTTAAATGGGAAATCTGTAATAACCAATAATGAGTTCAGTTTTCACATTCAAAAACCCACCAAATTAATGGAAAGCTTGATTTTTTCCCCTTTGATATACAATTAGGGGTTGTTTATAATTTTAAACCATTAAGCTGTAATACGCCCAACACTGTCTAACCCCCATAACACCAGATTTGTTTACTCATCAAAGGGAGAGTCTTGTATGTTAACCTATTGAGTGCCATTGCTCTCCCTTTGGCAAGTAAAATTGTCTGGTTTTAGACAGAATAAAATAATAAAATAGGCCACATTGGGGCACAGTGCAACTTAATGGGTTAATTTTTTAGCACTATATGATCATGGCTAGATATTTTTGTTAAATTTGCAACAAAATGGTCCACTTGCAAAATTGAAAAATTCCATGAAATTTTCTGAAAGCTTTCATGAAAAAAATTTGTGAAATATTGATTTCTCTCCAAAATTCATGTTATGAATATCAGGGCTTCAAATAACAGCCGATCACCAATCAATGATAGGCAAGAAATTGTTCATGATCTGTGGGAAAACAGGGTTTTCAACCAGGGAAAGTTATGACTGCCCCGATCACCAGGATCGGGAACTTTGGAAACCTTATTTCAAGCCCTGGATTATGTTTATCTGAGAGATTAAGAGCTTGGCACATTGCATAAACCTTAAAAATTATGATGACCATGAATTATTGTTTAGGTGTTATCAACTCTTGGTACAGAAAGCACCCGACCAGCTATTGGCCCACAGGTTAGAATTATTACATTTATTTTTTGAACTGTCTTTGCCAGTGGAGATGGTGCCAATAAAATGAGCAAGCTTTCGTTGGTAGAGATGCAACTACATGAAAAATATATAAGGATAATTGCAACCGTTTGAATGAATGAATGAATGAATGAATGATAATATTTATTCAGGAAACCAACATCACAAGAAGTGTTTTTCAGATGGTTCCTGCAAAACATTAAAATACAAAGTATAGAAAATATATATAGTGTGCGTGCAGTATTTACATATTGGTATATGAGGGCCACAAGTTCATTAGTACTTCGTACTATTAAGTGTCACCCTCTTTAAATAAAGTCTCTATCTATCTATCTATCTATATATATGGATATAAATGATATACCAGAAAAATTATGAGACTATAGGATACATGATGCTATACATATTTACAAGGATACAAAGAGTTAGGAAGTTATATTTTAAATATACTGTATGAGTATTATAAAAATAGAGATTTGAGAAGTTCATTCCTAAAGGTTCCTAATTGTTCAATGGATCTAGTATTATAGTTCAAATCGTTGTACTCTTTACAAGCCTGGTAAAGCAGTTTTTGCTTTCCCCAGTTTGTCTTCGGCTTACAGAGGTATATATCATCTCTGCGTCTTGTGTTATATAAATGATTAGTTTTAGGCAGTTTGAGATTAAACTCTGTTAAATTATTTTTTAATTTATATATTGTTAGTATTCGGTGTAGTTTGAGTCGGTGGGCAGGTGGATGCCAGTGTAATTTGTTGAGGGCTTCAGTGGATGAGGATAGGTAGGGAGCGTCAAGAATGGTCTTTGCAACCTTATTCTGGAGAACTTGTAGTTGATCCATTAAGGAGGAGTTATTCTTGTCACCCCATATAATATCTCTGTAGTCAAATAGTGGAAGAATAAGAGTGTTGTAGATGATAAGTCTAGTTTTGAGTGGAAAGAAGGTTTCGAGCTCAGGTCCTTCATTTAGATGTTTTGTTTTGAGGGCCTTTGATCGAAACATCGAAATCCTCCTTTATATTTTCAGGTAGTTGCATTCCTTCCAATGAAAGCTTGCTCATAGAATTATTACACATCAATTTGTGTTGTTAAGACTTAAATGATCTTCGATTAAAGGCTTGTCATTGCCTTAATGTATCATATTTTACTACTGCGTCAATTTTCTCACAATTTTTTAGTGCATAATGGCCATAGCTTGTGCGGAGCTTCCAGTGCAACAATGGCCAGATTTGATCACAACCTTAGTTCAAAGTGTTACCAACACTACAGCTTCGGAGGATTTGAAAGAACAGACGTTGGAAGCCATTGGTTATATCTGTCAGGATATAGTATGTCAAATATACTTTTTTAATACTTAATACTCTTTGCCCACTATGATTGCTTAAATTAATCCAGAATCTTTCTGAACTTCCGTGAATTAAAATTTCAGGACCCAAAACATTTAGCAATGGAAGCAAATAGTATTTTAACTGCAATTGTACAAGGAATGAGAAAAGAGGAAGTCAGGTGAGAAATAATCCTTCCTTACATTATCAAATATGGGAAGATTGATCTATTCTAGTCATCCTTTATCCACAGAACCCAGCACCCTAGAAACGCTCAAACCATCAAAATATTTTTTCCTATGTTTAGCAACCAGGTCCGTCTTGCAGCAACGACAGCACTATACAACTCCTTAGAGTTCACAAAAGGAAATTTTGACAAAGAGGTAGAATCTTGTTGACGGGCACTAGGGGTTGCAATCGCCCCCTCCACCCCAATAATTTAGGACCAGATTGGAAAAAAGGTGTAACTTTATCTGTTTATCCTCAATAAATAGAAATAAAATAAATAAAGTGTTATTAATTTCTGAAAGCCTTCGAATGGTAATTCTGCATGACTGTTTAACACTAGGCCTAAAAAAAATACCTGTGGTTCCGGTTTCATATCGCGAAAAAATTAGGGTCGGTAGGTCAGAAAGAATTTTTTTTGAATATTTTTTTCATGGTTTTTCCAATAATTAATGTGACAACAGACACCTTTTTGGCAGCAGCCCGCAACCACCCGGAGAAAATAGGGTCGCACGGTCAATTGCATTGAAAAAATAATAGGGTCGGCAGAAAAAAATAGGGTCTGTCGGGAACCAGAACCACAGGTATTTTTTTAGGCCCTAGGATACCAGAAATCTCAAGTGTACTGAAGAGTGATTCAAGTTGTTTTCTGGAATTTCCATGTTGTATAATTATATGCTTGGTGATGTTGTATTTAGAACGAAAGACATTTCATCATGCAAGTTGTATGCGAAGCAACTCAATGCACAGATACACGAGTGAGTATATAATAACTAGACAATTCAGGGTAACTAATAGAATTTCAAACCTCAGGATTGTTTGCAATGGACATTTGCATTATAGACTAAATTTTGATCTAAACAAAAATTTCATCACAGCTTGAAAGAGCATCACAAAATTAGTAATATTCCAAAGTTTCATTGCAAAATGTTGTAAAATGCAGATAATAGAGCCTTGCGAAGTTTTTCGTTTTTCAGTCATTTTGCATTACGCGGGGGAAATAGACCTTTCCCCTTTTAAGTGAGATTTTGATCAAGACAAGTCTTGACAAAAATTTCATCACAGCTTGAAAGAGCATCACAAAATTAGTAATATTCCAAACTTTCGTTGCAAAATGTTGTAAAATGCGGATAATATAGCCTTGCGAAGTTTGCCGTTTTTCAGTAATTTTGTATTACAAATGGGAAATTGATAATCAGTTTGATCATCTGATTATCAATTTCCCGTTTGTAATGCAAAATGACTGAAAAACGGCAAACTTTGCAAGACTATATTATCCGCATTTTACAACATTTCGCAACCAAACTTTGGAATATTACTAATTTTGTGATGCTCTTTCAAGCTGTGATGGAACTTTTGTCTAGACTTGTTTAGATCAAAATTTAGTCTATAATGCAAATGGTCCATTATTGGCTATCATAACTGAATAACATTCTTTGAAGCATTCTTCACAAAAATATTTACCTTTCCAGATTATCTATTTCATTTAATTTTCAATCCTTCAGGTAAAAATTGCAGCTCTGCAAAACTTAGTGAAAATAATGTCTTTATATTATGACCACATGGTGTCGTATATGGGGCCAGCTCTGTTTGCAGTAAGTAGATTTCATTATATTATAAAAACTGTGCATTTCATAGCTGCAGAAGTTAGTGAGAGATGCTACCTCTATAATCTAAGGGGCTATAACTCCGAATTCAAAACTTCAAAACTTAGTTGAATTAAGAATTCTAGAGTTACTTAAGCCAACTAAAAAAATCATTTGAAGGCAGTATGTATATGACTATATTCAACCCTGGAAAAAATAATTTTAGTTTTTACTAGTTTTTTTTTTTTTTTAAATTGTTTCACAAGCTCTAAAGATGATTGGCTAGCTGTCCCCACAAAATAATCTACCGGCGTGCATAGCAGGAAATATTGGTGGGTCCTGGCATCTAGGATCCAAGAAAATTTTCAGACCTGGCTTAGCTTGCAGAAAATTTTAGGGCAATGCATAATTAAGCCGGTTACAGACAAGCAAGTTTTCTATGACAAGTTTTTATGTGACAAGTTTTATTTGCTCGTCTATACGTGCAACTTTGACAATTTTTTCTATGACAAGTGCACTTGTCATAGAAAAAATTGTCAAAGTACAAATTTTGTTTGTCTGTTTGGGTCAACAAAGAAAACTTGTCAAAGTAATCTGAGCATTTCAGGGGTGGATCTAGACGTTCTTGTGACTAGTTTCCAAGACAACACTAGCTCTCACCGTGAGGCGCGAGTTAGCTAAGGGAAGGGAGGGGGGTCCAGGTCGATTTGGAAATTACTTGAAGAAAAACACATAAATTCACAAGTTTGGAAAAATTTTTACTAGTTTCCGGAAACTAGTGGCACTAGTTTGGATCCACCCCTGGAGCATTTGATGTGATTGGCCAGCTGGCTGCTAATAAATTGTCAATGAAAGTAAACTTGTTGACACATTCACACTAGTAAATAAAACTTGTCGTATGAAAACTTGTCATTTAAAATTTATTGCATATAGACATGTGCACTTGGCAAATAAAACTTGTCACATCAAAACTTGTCATAGAAAACTTGCTTGTCTGTAACCGGCTTTATTGCTAACAGACACAGAAAATAATTTATTAGGAAGAACATTAAGAATATTAAATAATATGGCAGAAAACGTTGATCTCAAAAATTAGGATCCCTGAAACAAAAATATTCCCTGCCATGCTGGCATGGGTTATTTTGTACATACAGATAGCGATGAATAATATATTGACAAGCTAGGTTGAAGCACAGTATGGGATATGTATTTACTTGAAAAGAAAAACACTTTGATGTTCCAGTGTGAACTTTGAACGTATGTATTGTGTTGTAGATTAGTCTTGACGCGATAAAAAGCGACATACATGAAGTGTCATTGCAAGGCATTGAATTTTGGTCAACGGTTTGTGACGAGGAAATTGACCTGGATCTTGAGGCTGAGGAGGTGAGGGGTTCAATTTAGCTTGTAAACTAAACTAATTTTTTATACTAAATAGCTCTATCAGTTCTGAATGGGTGATTCCAGCTTTAGACTAAATTTTGATCAAGGCAAGAAGAACAAAATCCAACACCACAGCTAGGAAGAGCGTCTTAGAATGAGTAAAACTGCAAAGATTAAATGTTTTAAATTGAAGAAAATATAGTCCTGTAAAGTTCGCAAATTTTGTGTATGTTTGTATTACGCGCAGTAAAAGTAACCACTTTCGGCTCAAAAATGGTTATTTTTCCCGCGCGTAATGCAAATATATACACAATTTGCGAACTTTACAGGGCTACATTTTTCTCATTTTACAAGCAAACTTTGCAATTTTACTTCTTGTCGTTCTTGTCTAGATCAAAATTTTGTCTATAGCTGGAAGTCCTCTGATCTGATCAAGGAACTATAAATCAACCACGGTTTGATATATTCAACCAGGGTCAGATAGTTATGATTTTGTTAGGTAAATATGTTTAGTGGCTAAATTTCCTTGCTAAATTTCATATATTGGTAATTTTGTGAGTGTATGCATGTATCATGACAGTTGGCTTAAATTTACTAACACTAAAACATTCTGAAATCTTGGCGCTATTACAATTATTTGCAAATAAGTTCATTGCCAAATAAAGCAATTAATTCAGAGTTACATACTCCCATGTCGTAATCCTATGTCTATGAACATGTTTATTCTTTTATAATTTAGTTGCAGTTCAATTTATTTGAACACATCAGTTAGGGGTTTTTCGCCTGGGGACGTTTTGGCTTGGGGACGTTTTGACTGCGCAGATACTCGGGGACGTTTTAACCTGGGGACGTTTTGACCGGATACCAAGTCCTCGTGGGTAAAAATAGTCGTACACCAGATATCTAAGGAAATGTGTTTACTTGAAAATCCTTCTTATAACTAACATTCTCTGATCCAAGTTAGCGTCATCCATTTTTTATCTCGCTATTTCCAGAGCTTTGACAACTTTCATTCTCGTTCCGCATCAAACAATCTGCTATTTGCAGAACAAAAATACAAAATGGCCGATTAATTTTATTGGCATGTTGAGCGATCAAATAGAATACGCAGTTTTCATTTCTATTAAGTACTGTTCGAAAGCATGCAAGAAACACAACACATTTTCTTAATTCGCTTTGCTGTGACAGGCAACAAAAGTTTACGGTACCAAGTTTATGTACTCTATATAGACATAGGGAAAATTGAAAAACAATAGGGACCAAGAAATGTTCGAAAACAAAAATTCAAGGCCTTGAATTTGTAAAGAAGTACTTCAAAGTCCTTAAATTCTTCTTGCTTTAGTTATTGGATATTTTCTGAAATTATTTGACATTCAAAACGGACATTTTGTTGAACTGATTTTGCATGTTCGTATCGGACAAAGCTGTTTGAAATTCATTAAAGTTGCGCCCTTTTTGAATAATTGAACGTCACATTTTACTGATTTCTAACGCCTTCTCTTCAGTATGTAGTCCTTGAATTTGCTGATACATGACCTGGAATGTCCTTTAAAAGTCCTTGAATTTGACTCTTCCTGACATGTAAGAACCCTGGCAAAACTTTCATTTCTTATTTAGGCTGCACAAATTGGTCAGCCTCCGGAACGAAGCAGCAAGAAGTATGCCAAGGGTGCTCTACAATACCTTGTTCCTCTTCTTTTGGAAACTTTGTCAAAACAGGTATATAATATCGTTCTCAATTTTTCAAACGACTACTAGGTGTATTGTAGTTGCAGACTTACCTCGAGTGCATTATACCACAGATTTGTATAGATTTAGTGTAATATGTTATGACAATCAACTTTTTCGTTCGAACAAGACCACATACGTATGGATGTTAGTCTGCATGGATTATCGAGATTTCAAAGACAAAGGAAATTTTTCTTCTTACAGCAAAAATACAAAACGTTTCCCACTTCTGTAGTCTGTTGTGATTTACTGTAATTTGTTCTGTTTTTCTATGCGATTACCGATCTGTCGGCAAATACTGCGATAAAATTGAAATTTCGTACCTTTTATGGAATGAAACTAGTGAAAAATGTATTATTTCCCTTTGCTACAAATTATCATATTTGAAAATAAAGATAACTAAGTTTTATCGCGGTATTTGCCGATAAATTGGTAAACGCTACAGAAAAAGAGAACAAATTACAGTAATTTTTTTCTGTGTTGGTGTTGTGTACTTGGGTTAATATGATTGCTTGTGATGTTACTCTGAGTGTATATCCACACCGGGCAAGCTTGAAAAATATGCCTGGCCACGGTGGGAATCGAACCTACGACCTTTGGAATACTAGCCCAATGCTCTGCTAAATTACGGTAAATCACAACAAACTACAGAAGCGGAAGTGGGGCACTTTTTGTATTTTCAGTCACTGTAAAAGCAAAGTTAACCTCACAACGTGTTGACATCAAGTTGTAGAATGGACCTTTCCCCTTATAACTAAAATTTCGATCTAGACAAAAATTTCATCACAGCTTGAAAGAGCATCACATAATTAGTAATATTCCAAAGTTTTGTTGCAAAATCTTGTAAAATGCGGATAATATAGCCTTGCGAAGTTTGCCGTTTTTCAGTCATTTTGTATTACAAACGGGAAATTGACATCCGATTCGGGTGTTGGGGCTGCAATTTCCCGTGCGTAATGCAAAATGACTGAAAATTGCAAATTTCGCAAGGCTCTATTTTCCTCATTTTACAACATTTCGCAACGAAACTTTGGAGTGTTACTAATTTTGTGATGCTCTTTCAAGCTGTGATGAAATATTTGTCTAGACTTGCCTAGATCAAAATGTTGGTTATAAGGGGAAACGTCTATTGCACGACGATAACGAGTTGTCGGAACAACTTGTAACAAGCTGTGATATTTTTACTCGTGTAAGTAAACCCGAGTCGTCTTGCTGACAGGAAGAATTTGATGATGAGGATGACTGGAATCCATCGAAAGCTGCTGGTGTTTGTCTCATGTTGCTTGCGCAATGTTGTGAAAATGATGTCGTGCCTTTTGTTCTACCTTTTGTCGAGGAAAATATTAATGCTGAAATGTGGCAGAGGCGAGACGCTGCTGTAATGGCATTTGGTAAGGGCTTTAGAGTTTTAAGCCCTGGGCATACTGGGAAACATTGTTGTGGAAACATTTGATTCTCGATGTTTCTTCAAATGTTTCCCTGTTTGCCCACCCGTGGAAATATTGTTGCGGAAACAAAATTTGCTTCCCGAGAAGCAAAAATGTTTCCTAGCAAATTCAGAAACATTTGATGTTTCCCTATGTTTCTTACTAATGTTTCCTAGTGTTTGCCCACTCTGGGAAACATGGCGAAACATTGGTAGGAAACAATGTTTCCGCAACAATGTTTCCTAGTTTGCCCATGGCTTTAGGTTCGTGGGAATGAACCAAATACACTGTGACTCGAAATATTTGATCAGCTAGCGGGACAACGAATCGTCGTGCTTTGCTTTGATTTGATTTGCGTTCGGAACGCAATTGCAACCATACTGTATATACTAATGTACGCAATATGTTCAATCATTTAGGATCAGTTCTAGGTGGACCAGATCCCGAAGCTTTGAAACATGTTGTTGTAAAGGTACGCCTATCAGCGTAAGGCTAAGCATACAGTAGATGGATTTTCAGATTTTGCTTTGGGAGGGTTCCATCCCACTAGCGACCCCCCACCCCCCTGAATTTTCGGCACCCTTCGTAAGGTGACGAAGCCCCAGGCAATTTTGAAACTTTCTGAAGCAAAATTTACGGACATATAGTGCAATTTCGGATACACAATTTCTTTGCAAAAAAAATGAAAAATGTTGGCAGAATAAACTGTGGGCCATGCTTCAACAGCTTTTTGGATAAATGCCAGAAATTGCGTTACAAGTTGCATGAAACGCAAGAACTCCCTTTTATACAAACGCCAGAACTCCCTTTACAAACGCCAGAACTCCCTTTTCAAATGCCAGAACTTCCTTTTCAAATGCCAGAACGCCCTTTTCAAATGCCAGAACTCCCTTTTCAAATGCCAGAACTCCCTTTTCAAATGCCAGAACTCCCTTTTCAAATGCCAGAACTCCCTTTTCAAATGCCAGAACTCCCTTTTCAACTGCCAGAACTTGTTTTCCAAACGCCAGAATTCCGTTATTGAACTTGCAGCAAAAATTGCCTCGTGTAACATGGCCTTTAAGTTGCTGTGGTTTGGTTTCTACATTGAAGTACATACTTATATTCTCTCCTCTGTAACTTGTAGGCAATGCCTCTGATCATTAATATGATGAGAGACCCTAGTACGATCGTTCGTGATTCTGCCGCGTGGACTGTAGGCAGAGTCTGTGAACTACTGCCGGATGAGGCGATCAATCCTCTTTACTTAGATCGTTTGCTTGAACAAATGATGATGTGTCTTGCCGCAGAGCCACGAGTCGCAGCTAACAGTTGTTGGGTAAGTTCACACGCTACAGTTTCTGAAAATATAAAAAGCAACAAATTTCCAAGAATAAAGTCGTTCATTTTAAAATTCACACTTAAATTAAATTTCCACTTTAATTGTGGCAATGCTGTTCCAACAACTTGTCATTAGGATGACACCAACACAGAAAAAAATCTTGTTGCTACTTGCTACAAGGTTGTTGAGCGCAACAGACTTGTTACAAGTTGTTTCAACAACTTGTTATAGTCCTGCAATTCAACAATTTGTCAACAAGTTGTGAGTAATAACCTTGTAGTAACTTGATAAAATAACAGCATTGTTACAACTTGTTGACAAGCTTGCTACAAGCCCGTTGCGAACACATCTTGTTGACAATTTGTGAGATTTTTGCGTGTGCAGATCACGCTAAAATATTGTCTTCAGCGACGTCAGCAATATGTGTCATATTTGTCTCCCTTTGCTGTGTAGGCATTTTCGTCGTTAGCCGAAGCTGCGCTGGAAAATGCAAAAAATAAATTTGGAACTGACGAACCAGATAGCTTTGCGCTGTCAGGAAGCTTTAGCAAAATTGTAACTGAGCTACTTGAAGTAACAAACAGGTATGGAAATTCATTGTGTGTTAAGCCACTCCAGAGTACGTGTCAAGATTTATTTCAAGATTTATTCAGAAACTGCACTATTTACAACAAGGGAAATGCATATGAAATTTTACAATCAATCCATGGATATGATCAAATGCACTTTACATCAAGTATTCCTCTTACCAAATTACGCACTTAGCTTAGACTATTTTATCTTTAACAACAATTGTGATATTACTTTTTTAACTGTGTTTATCCTAACCCACTTGTCAACTTTTCCTAACCCACCCTGTCAACTTTCCCTAACCCACCCTGTCAACTTTCCCTAACCTACCCTGTCAACTTTCCCTAACCTACCCTGTCAACTTTCCCTAACCCACCCTGTCAACTTTCTCTAACCCACCCTGTCAACTTTCCCTAACCTACCCTGTCAACTTTCCCTAACCCACCCTGTCAACTGTCCCTAACCTACCCTGTCAACTTTCCCTAACCTACCCTGTCAACTGTCCCTAACCCACCCTGTCAACTTTCCCTAACCCACCCTGTCAACTGTCCCTAACCTACCCTGTCAATTTTCCCTAACCCACCCTGTCAACTTTCCCTAACCTACCCTGTCAACTTTCCCTAACCTACCCTGTCAACTGTCCCTAACCTACCCTGTCAATTTTCCCTGTGGGAGGAAACCGGGGCACCCGGAGAAAACCCACGACTTTCGGCAGAGCGTTGGCTGACTCTTTTGACATGAGTCCGTAGCGAGAATCAAACGCACGATGTCAGAGGTGAAAGGCGCTTTGCTCTGATAACTTCGCCATCAAAGCCGGAACTAAGGGATATGAATGCTTTTGTTGTCTAGATCGGATGGAAACCAAGCAAATCTCCGCAGTGCAGCCTACGAAGCAGTTATGGAGATGATTAAAAATTCTCCTAAGGTAACTCGATTAGGCCAGGACTTTTGCCTTGTATACAGTGCAATGTATTAATACATACATTTTTGTCGCATAGGATTGTTACATATGCGTACAGTCAACAACATTGGTTATTCTGGAAAGATTACAGCAAGTGCTGCAGTTAGAAGTACGTAACTTAGTTACTACATCTGAAGTGCATATGAAATTGAGATCTGTATAGCCTTACTAATCTGCAAAAAATCGGCGTATTTTCATATGGGAGACAATATATTTGTTATATGTTTTAGGGTCAAATAACATCCACAGATGATCGATCTCAATACTTAGATCTACAAGCTCTCATCTGTGCTACACTGCAGGTAAAGATCTTATGTTTCCACTTTCCATTGGGAATATTAATCAGTTCTGCCCTAACAGGTCCATGTAATGGTTTAGTGTCACTACATGAGAAAACCTTAGCTAAAGAAAATTATTCCGACCTAATAGTTAAAAGGCCACAGAGGAATGTTTTAACAGAGTGTCCCTGGTGGTTTTGACCAGGATTGTAACCTTGTCAATTATCTATAATAACTTCAATTATTGAGGGTAACTTATAATGATGAAAAATTTTACAGAGCGTACTACGGAAAGTGCAGCCAGATGATGCATTAAAGATTTCTGATGCGGTCATGAGTGCCTTACTACAGTTACTGATAACACAAAGTGGTCAGGGGGGTGGTGCGAAAGAGGATGCTCTTTTGGCCGTTGCCATACTTGTTGAAGGTAATACTCGGTTAATATAGTCCCCAGTCAGTGCTGAATAACGAATAGTGTAGGCCTGTTTACACTTGGCATTTTTGCTGCGATTTTAGATGCGATATTCTGTTGATGGATGTAAACGAGTGAATGAGTTGTGAATATTCAGATGAGGGTACATACATCTCAAACTCGTTAATAATTCATGATAAATTAGCCAACCATATTGCTTTAATTTGCTCACATGATAATACTGGATACTTGGTGAAGTATATTGATGTCCTAGGACTGGATCAAAATTAATTCACCTCACTTTAAGTGTTGATTTGTTCGTATGAGATGTCATTTCAAATCCTCGGACTGGACTAGATTTCAAGTCCTCGCATTTCGCTCCAGTCCTCGGCTTCGCCTCGGGCTTGATCAAATTGCGCGGATTTGAAATCTAGTCCAGTCCTCATAGTCGGATTTGAAATATTACATTCAGAACAACATCAACTCATCTGCTCGTTCATGTGCATCATTGCTGTCTTGCTTCTGTGTTTGTTTTTCATATGATGCTAGGATATTTTGTTCATGTTTCTTTCATAGTGATTGGAATAAATTTCATGAAATACATGGAAGCATTCAAACCAATGTTGACTCTTGCCTTAAAGAATACAGATGAATACCAGGTATTTCAGTTTATGTTGTATTAGTCTACGGATTAGCAAGGGATCTAGGGAGAACAGTTTAGAACTGATGGAGATATCCAGTATAAATATAGTTTAGTTAAAATTTCCTCCCGTAGTAACACTGGATCACTGCTGGAATGACCCTTACTAGATCTCTAGGGAGAAAAATTTAGAACTGATGGAGATATCTAGTATAAATATAGTTTAGTTAATATTTCCTTTCGTAGTAACACTGGATCACTGCTGGAATGACCCTTACTAGATCTCTAGGGAGAAAAGTTTAGAACTGATGGAGATATCCAATATAAATAAAACTATACTCACCATGATAAATGTTTTCCAAGGCTTGTATCGCTGCTGTTGGCATAGTCGGAGATCTATGTCGTTCTTTTGGTGAACAAGTTTTACCATTCTGTGACGAATTCATGAATTTATTAATGGCAAATCTAGCCGTAAGTAATTTATATTAAGTACAATAGAAATTCTAGTTACGATCTTGCATTATATTGTCATGGTTTCCGGAAATGCCACTGTTCCCAGAACTCGTCTGGTGTCGTGTCAACATATTCTTACCATCTTTATTTCATTGTTTAGAACCAGACAGTTCATCGTTCAGTGAAACCCCAAGTGCTCTCTGCTCTTGGCGATGTTGCTCTGGCTATTGGAACAAACTTTAAGAACTATCTGCAACCTGTCATGATGACTTTGGAGCAGGCTGCAGCTTTGAAAATAGAAACAGTATGTGCATGTTATTGTCTTCTTGAATTAATAGTGGTACTGTTGTGATGTTGGTGATAGTGGTGGTTGGTGTTCGGTCGGTGGTGGTGGTGATGGTGTTGATGGTGGTGATATAGTGGTTGTTGGTGATAGTGGTGCTGGTGGTAGTGATGGTGGGTGATGATAATACTGATGGTGGTGGTGATACTGGTGGTGGTGGTGGTGATGGTGGTGTGGTAGTGTGATGGTGACGATAATGGTGGTAGTGATGGTGGTCTTGGCGACAGTGGTAGTGATAATTGTGGTGGTGATGGTTCGTGATGATGGTGATTGTTGTTATGGTGATGAACATGATGTTAATGATGATCGTGGTGGTGGATTATAAAGTCCTAATGAACTTGGTAAGTTGCTGAAATAACAACTCACTGATATATAACAAACCAACTTCATTGTTTTCAGGATGACTACGATATGATTGAATACATAAATGAACTTCGTGAGGCATGTCTAGAAGCTTACACTGGTATTATTCAAGGCCTGAAGGGAGATGGCGCTGCTCCTAGCCGTAAGTGGATAGCTTTACCAGTTAGAAACTGTTCCGCAGAAAATATATTGTGTTTTGTATACCACGAATAGTTATGTGATATATTTATCACTCTACTTTCAGCTGAGGTACAAAACGTTTGGAACGGTGTCCCAAGTATTGTTATGTTCTTAGAACTTATTGCATTGGATAAAGACCATTCTGAAACTGTTGTAGCGGCTGCCTGTGGACTTGTAGGGTAAGTGGTGACAAAATTTATGACTTGTGGGTTCAGTGTCATGCCATGGTTTGTGTATGAACTGCCTGAAAAAGATATAAAAAACCTCGATGATTCGAGTAGGGGGTTCAAGTCTAACTATACACGGGAGAACCAGAGTATGTAAATAAGTGGGCATGTGCTACTAATCCTTACTTGCTGCTGAGAGCTAAGCTGAATAGACCTTTCCCCTTATAACCAAAATTTTGATCTAGGCAAGTCTAGACAAATATTTCATCACAGCTTGAAAGAGCATCACAAAATTAGTAATATTCCAAAGTTCCGTTGCGAAATGTTGTAAAATGAGGAAAATAGAGCCTTGCGAAGTTTGCAATTTTCAGTCATTTTGCATTACAAACGGGAAATTACAGCCCCAACACCCGAATCGTATGTCAATTTCCCGTTTGTAATACAAAGTGACTGAAAAACGGCAAACTTCGCAAGGCTATATTATCCGCATTTTACAAGATTTTGCAACAAAACTTTGGAATATTACTAATTTTGTGATGCTCTTTCAAGCCGTGATGAAATTTTTGTCTTGATCGAAATTTTAGTTATAAGGGGAAAGGTCCATTGCGAAGGACGCAGCTCAACCTGGAAGACTCCCTAAGGACTCCTCTGGCAGCCACCCTATGACTCGTGTCTGATCACAGAGCACAGCTACGGTTGACGAATAAACTTGGGGTAATCCCAACCCACCCTGTCAACATTCCTTGGAGGAAACCTGAGTACCCGAAGAACGCCCACGACATTCATTGACTGACTCGTCTCACATAAGCGTCACGAGTCCGCCATGAGAATCGAACCCACGATCTCCGACGTGAAAAGCGCTTGCTCTGCCTGACGATTTCGCCACCAAAACCCTTCAACCACGTTTGGTTGAGTCAAACTTGTACTCGTCTCACTTGAGATGGAGTCGAAATTATAATCGGACAATTCTCTACTTCAGGAATCGAACGTCGGTCACAGTGTTGAAAAGTACATGCTCTCTGACTGATAACGACGTTTCATTCCTCTATTTCAGAGATTTGTGTTCAGCTTTTGGTGCACAAATACATCCACATTTAGAGAAACAGACCATCCTAGAATTATTGCAAGAAGGCCGCAGGTCGAAAGGAGGAAAAACTAAAAATGTGGCGACGTGGGCAACGAAAGAATTACGAAAATTAAAGCAAGCATAGGTTGGTCAAGTTTGCTTTCATCCGCTGATTTAGTTTCTCGATCGATTGATTGATTAATCAATTGAGTGATTAAATAGTGATTGATTGATTAATCAATTGAGTGATTAAGTGATGATTGATTGATTAATCAGTTGAGTGATTACTGGTAAATGATGATTGATTGATTAATCAATTGAGTGATTAATTGATTAATCTTTTGAGTGATTAATTGATTAATCAATTGAGTGATTAAATGATGATTGATTGATTAATCAATTGAGTGATTAAATGATGATTGATTGATTAATCAATTGAGTGATTAATTGATGATTGATGATTGATTGATTAATCAATTGAGTGATTAATTGATGATTGATTGATTAATCAATTGAGTGATTAAATAATGATTGATTGATTAATCAATTGAGTGATTAAATGATGATTGATTGATTAATCAATTGAGTGATTAAATGATGATTGATTGATTAATCTATTGAGTGATTAATTGATGATTGATTAATCAATTGAGTGATTAATTTATGATTGATTGATTAATCAATTGAGTGATTAAATGATGATGGATTGATTAATCAATTGAGTGATTAATTGATGATTGATTGATTAATCAATTGAGTGATTAATTTATGATTGATTGATTAATTGAGTGATTAAATGATGATGGATTGATTAATCAATTGAGTGATTGAATGATGATTGATTAAGAGTGATTAATTGATGATTGATTGATTAATCAATTGAGTGATTAATTGATGATTGATTAATCAATTGAGTGATTAAATGACGATTGATTGTGATTGATTAATCAATTGAGTGATTAAGTGATTAATGATTGATTAATAAATTGAGTGATTAAATGATGATGGATTGATTAATCAGTTGAGTGATTAATTGATGATTGATTGATTAATCATTTTCGATTGAGTAATATTGATTATAAAATGATTTTCTCGTAGACCGTCGAAAAGAGGACTAATCTACGAAAGACGAATGGAAATGTGAGTACGTGAGTGGTTTGATGAGAGCCTGAATGGAAAGCCTGAATGGAAAGCCTGTGAGTTAACCATGAGAGCAATGAATGAAGACGCTGAGCCGCCGCGCAATATGAACAAAACGAAATGAATCTATGCAAATTTCACAGCGATTCCGAAAAATCGTGGTGGAAATTCCAAAATTAGAATGTTCGAAATCAATAAATTCCTTTCAAAAGAGTGTACAATACGCAACATTTCATACGACAAGAAGCGATGTTCAAGCGAGAGCTGGTTATAGAAGTACATTTTGGAAATCTCGGCTAATCGTTTATATGGATACGTATAAAAAGATGCCCTGGGGATGATGTTACCCAAGCCATGTTATCAGTTATCTTCAGAAACCTAAACACCACCATTTCATGAAGTTTTACTTTGGAAATTGGATGAACACTAGTACTGGTGGACATTTCTATGGAATGATTTGTCTAGAAGATCTCTTGTTATTTCTGAAGTTTAATATTCTGCAGTATATATTCGTGCATTGGTAACAGAAATCCGTTTTTCTTTTGAAATGATTAAATTGGATGCATATCTTGGAATCGAACGGGACATACATCTTTTTGTCAAACACTTAATTGATGTATCCAAAATGTATTTTTGCAGATACTTTGGTGAAATTGCTTTGAACAAGGTATCTGTGTTTATACAGATTAGCCTAAATGCACAACAAAATGCCTAATAATTTGTTCTTTTTGTGGAACGGCATCGCAGGCGATTTCGGACCTAACTTCTATATTGTACACCATTGAATGGTCGAGCGAAAAGAGAGAATTATTATAGTTCATACTTTATTTTGACAGAACAGTGAGACAAGAAATGCGAATGTAATGTGAAAAATAGAGCCAGTATAAAATATACAACCTTTTGATTGTTTAACAATCAAAGAATATAAAACAGTTTCTTGATTTGATCGAAAAGATTTGGTTTGTCAATATGATCAATGCAAATGAAGTATTGATCACTCGGATCATTATTTAGTTAATTCGGTTCCAATATATATATATGTTTTTATACATTGGAACCAAATACATACTTCTGTATTGGCAAACTGGGAAACACTCACTCTTGCGATAAATCGTTTCCTTGCCATGTTTCTCAAAGCAAAACATGTTTGAGGAAACATTAAGATGTTTCCAGCACAATGTTTTGGAGGGTGGATAAACAGAGAAACATCGTCATCTATAGTCGATCATTGATGCCCGATAATCGATCATGGATGCCCGATTATCGATCATGGATGCCCGATTATCGATCATGGATGCCCGATTATCGATCACCGATTATCGATCACCGATTATCGATCACCGATCATCATCACCGATCAACAAGTAAGGAAACTTGAAAATTTTCAGTTGTTTCCATGGAAACATTTGAGAAACTTGGGCAAACAGAACAAGCAGATATTTTGATACAAAAATGTTTCCAATAATATTTATATCTATACCTAGCCTATAAAAAGAGGCCACATCTATAAGAGCAATCTCGAATAAGAGATGGAAAATTGAAATAGAAGAACCATTTAAACAAAAAGTCTTGTTCAAATAATATTGATTTAGTAATCGACAACTAATAGGCAAACATTTGTGGAATCGAGGAGGTGGTCAGACGTTGGTACAGCAATGCTTCCTATAGTTTAATTTGACGAGGCAATGCAATGAAACTACGCCTATTCCGAACATACGAAAAACTCTATGATATTCAAATATGGATACTGAAGTATCCTAATCCAAGTATATTCAATGCTAGAATATTTTAATTGTCTAAGGCATCCAATCGTTTCCGGTGTTTAATTATCAACATGAATAAACCCACCGATTAACCAAAGTTTGAGTTTATTGTTTGAATTTCAATGCACAAGTTAAGCTTTTGATGAGTTTATATGTTTTGTTTTGCATAGTCATCTAGTAATATCTAAAACCTCCGGCGTCCGGAAATGTCAGGGAGATGCCATCACTTCACAAAATATTAAGGTGACCATACAATATTTTAAAACATTACTGTATATAACCCTCAACCATTTTTTAAATATTTTTAAAAGTTTAGTCCGAGTCTAACATGTTGACCACACACTGACTCGACTTTGTAGCCAATCTTAATAGCAAAAGTTAATTTCACCCGATTTTGAGGGGTTAACCTAAAAATATGAGCACTATTTAAATATATTCTAAAATAGTTTATATATTAATTACAGTCTTTGTAGTTCTTAATTAGTTTGCATTCTCCAATTTTAATATTGTCTTTTCTCATCACTTCGCATTGTAAGGATACCTAAAAGGAATTTATCAATCTCTCTAAATATCTTAAAAATTTGCAGTTGATTTGGAAAATCTGCAGATTTGTAAAGATTTTTTTCTCCAACTCCAGTTGGCAAAGCAAGGAAAAGTACAAGCTTACCATAGCAGAACAATTTTTGCTTTTTGTGCAATGTTAGAATTTCCTTAAAGAATTCCCTGGTTCGGTAGAGTGAAACTGGGAACAAGCGATGCAAAATTTAATTTAAATTTCAGACAATTGAGCACTACAGGAATGAGCTCTATTCACAGAGGTGAAGACAAAATAATGCATTGAACGCTTCATTGACCTCAAAGTTTTTAATACTGCCTTATCACTACAAGTGATGGGTCATGTTCAATTTATCACAAATGTCTGTGCACCCGTCCAAGTTTAAACTTTAAATTCCTATAGGTGACTACCACTCTCGCACACTATAATTAATTTTGAAGTATAAACATTGTAAAATTCCTTTGCCAGCATGATACATTTTCATCAGTTGTAAACCAATTATCATCGAAGTGCCGTTGTAGGTTACGTACGTCGGTTAACAAATTTACTATACTTTTCTTCAACTTTGCCGACACCAAATGAATAATTAAATCTATATATATCATGCTATGTTTGCACATGCAAAATATTTTGTACTGTTCATATCGTTTAAACAACCCATACACACCAGTCGCGTTTAATGAAAGTTAATACATTTCACGCGTCGCTGGTGTTGAAAGGAACCGTTGAAATGTAACAGGGAATGCGTCTCGAGTTTCGTAAACTAAATTTAACACTGAGAATACGAAAGTTTAAAATTTCTGGCACCTAATCCTTGAGCATTTTGCTCATGTCCCAAAAATGAACTCGTATTAGCATTAAACCTGCGATAGAATATCACAACCTGCCAGCAAAATATGACTTACTTGTTAAAAATAACTTATTTTGTTGATAAACTGTGAATTGCGAGTTCGTATTCTCACGATCTCATTGGCTAAAACTAATCTCCTCTTTGCAATGTATATTACCTTCACATCTCGCACGCTGATTGGCTAAGGTTATCTTTGTTTTGAGCTCTCAGCCAATCGGAGCGAAGGGAATTGAAAAGCAATCGTATTTAGAAACACATGTGAGTCATGTATTGAAATCATCGCTGCAATAATAAAGAGAAGCGCTTGTGAATAAACGTTTCTGCATAAATACCAAAATCCTTAAATACACAACGACGGACAATTTAATACCGTGTAGACTTGGCGCCTTTTTTTACAACTTTGCATCTTGTTTGCTCTTCGAGTTGTGGCTTTGCAAGAATGGACGTGCAAACAGCTCTTCCGTCTGTGAATATTTTCAACGAACTCCAGACAGTGCACGAGAAAGGCTATTTCTATGTTTTACCGTCTTTGGAAGAAGATTGGCAACAGGTCTGTAGAGTAAATATCAATGAAGGATTTAGTGAAATATTGAAATAATAGTTGCAATGATTTTATATATATAGTAAGGGTAACTTTGTTGTATTACATACACATATATGTAGTATATTGTATTGCTATATTCCCCAGTTATTACTATGTTTTTATTCGTCTCATGTAATAAAAATAGTATTACTAAAGTGTCCATAAAAGCACAGCTTTATATAGAAAACATGATTTAGACATAGTTCCTTTATGATATTACGGTTTTAGTATTAAAGCTTTAATACTTGTAACTTGTCTACTCAATATATTGTATTTCTATATGCTTGAGTTGTCACTACCGCTGGGTTTAATATAATAATACAACTATATAATATTACTAAGGACAACTTTCCATAAAATACACGATTTTAGATACAGACAAATGCACAAAATGTGTACGATTCATTTATAGTATACTCGAAACGCACGCCAGCTTCAGTAAACGAAATTCGAAGTCCTTTCTTTTATTCATAAACAGCATATGTTTTAACCTTTGTTTCTTTGTCTCCAGACACGGTTAGAAATGGATCGCTATTTATGCCCGGAGTCGAGCAAGACAGATACAACCATCCACAATAATGCACCTTGGAATGACATCCCTTTGACATTTGATCTCGAAAACCTTATGTTACCAGAGGATTTTAGTGCTGTCAACTCGTGTGAGCTCACTTACTCTCATACTGCATTCACTCAGGAAATACCTGCTAGCCAACCTGTATCATATGAGGAAAATAGCAGCCTAGGTCAAAGCTTTGAGTTCAAGCTTAAACCCTTGTCCATACAAGTTCCAAACTGCCAAGAAAATGGGGCAAAAATTACACATAATGTACTGCCTTTAACTCCACCAAGTTCACCTGAAAACAATTCCACAAAAAGCGATGGAAATAGATCTAAACCGAAACACTCACGACTAAATTTGAAGACTAGCACGTTCGTAGTGAATAAGGATTTAACAGAATCGAAGCGTAGAGTCCATAGGTGTCCTTTCACTGGTTGTAGGAAGGTTTATACCAAGAGTTCGCATCTCAAAGCCCACCAGAGAACTCACACTGGCGAAAAACCGTACTGTTGCTCCTGGGATGGATGCCATTGGAGGTTTGCACGCTCGGATGAATTAACTAGACATTTCAGAAAACATACAGGGGCTAAACCATTCAAATGTTCGCACTGCGATCGATGTTTTGCGCGATCTGATCACCTTGCTTTGCACATGAAACGCCATGTTTGACGGCAGAGTGTTTGGCCTTAGACTTTGTGTCAGCGAGTGTTATTTTTCAGGGTTATGACTTATGGAATTACATGGGAATGCTATAGATCAAAATGGCTTGCAATGTATCTCGAACTGCTCGCGTGTGGCGATTGAGTATATGTTTTGCTCGATTCTGATCTGATCCGATTTTTGCATGTGAAGACTTATCTTTGATGCAGACTGTTTGGCTGTAAATTGAAAGGTTTATTGGTTATGGAACTACATGGAATGATTCTATATGGCTTGCAATATGTATGGAACTTGATGGGAATACAAACTCTTGGTGTGGCATATTGGGTATGAAATTGCATTGGGAATTTATGGCCTCTGTACACTCGTGGAGCTTTATAATATTGCTGTGTGTTTACTGACAAACGTGCTTTCGAAAGTGAGAAAATTTATTGCAATCCTAAACATCCTAGATCTCGCAGATTTCCTTCGAAATTCATTTGTTGTGACTGTAGAAAACAAGCAATCAACCTGTCCTTGTGATGACTCCGGTATCCATGGAGCTCAAAAATACAACGTGTTTACTCACAAGACACAAATGTGACTGAAACACGATCCCTTTTAAAAGATTACAGCATGTTGTCAACAGTTATTACAAACTACAATATGCCCACTTCACCACGGGCAGCATAGGTATTACAAGAATTTTGACCTGGGATACTATACTATGATAGCAAATTACACACGCGAAATCATGCAGAGAAAATTATGCAAATATTTTCATTCAAAATTTGCTACAATTTTGCGTTCCCTGAATTTTTGTAGTGAAAATGTAGCAATGATCAAAAATTTCCATGTTGCGATGGGATATTGATTATTTTACGCTGTCGAAGCAAATCGCCAAACCATCTGCCATTCAATGTGCTATAATTATGAACAAAAGCCACACAATGCACTATAATAAAAATCTTGTTGAAAAGAACCATCTTTGAATTGGTCGAACTAGAACATATGTAATAATGTTCCGTGTGTAATAATTGTACAGTGTATGACTGTGTCTATAAATCATTTTCGTTTATCCGTGTTAGGCTAAAAGTCAAAGCGAAAACGATTTATAGTTGCGTATTTTTATAAAGCAAATCCTAATGTAAATAATTGTATGCTTAAATCTTAGATATGATTCAAATTCATGCAAACTTTGAGTAAACACAAATCATTAACAAAAAGGTTACTATTTTAATGTTTCGTCTTTGCCGTCTGAGCAGATTTGCCACAGACTCTCAAATATGGACCTCCAGTGTAGGTAGTACTCTACAAAAAGCTGCCGTGGTTTGTGTCTGAACTACCTGAAAAAAATATCTCAATGTAGTGGGCCAGTGCAGGTAGTACTCTCAATTCTACAATAAGCTGCAGTTTGTGTCTGAACTTCTTGAAGACAAGATATCTTGAAAAATAACTATACTTTCTTCGAAATTTTGAATTTCAGCATAAAACTTTTATATTCTGAGTGTTTCGTTCATTTATGGATTTTTCTATATTTTTAGCGAAATAGTAAATTATCAAGTATTTTGGACTGTGAGTAATAGAATGTTTAACATATTCATGCTTAAAAGAGTCTTTGACTTTGTGAAGTTTTATTTGCACCTGCACGAAAATGCGAAAATTTCACTTCTTAAACTGCCTTTGTTGTCTCTGCATACTAAAACACGTGGTCAAATAACCACGATATTTTCATTCTTTGTGCGCACGAGGCCATCAAAATCGATCTTAGAAATTGTTTCCCCATTTGTTCTTGAGACGGTCGATCTGTTTGGACGAACTTTTGCGCAGTGAAAAATAGCTGTCGATCCGATAATTAATCTACACACGCAAAAATCTCGCATCTTGTAAAAAGTTTGTCAACAAGCCGTCAACAAGTTGTCTTTGTACTGCTTGTCACAAGTTGTCAACAAGTTTGGAACAAGCTGTTGACAACTTGTGACAAGCTTGATGGCATTATCAGACTTGTCGCAAGGTTGTTCCAACAAGTCTGATACAGTCGTGATGTAACAATATTGTTACAACCTTGTAACAACTTACGTGTGCACGATAAGTCGTCTATGAAAACGCGCGCAAACAGACGGTTCATCTCAGATGCGAGTAATGTCAGTACAGGAGCGGTGAGGAACCATCGCCAATCTATCCTAAGAATGGCGATCCGTCAGATGGAAGATTCTGCTTCCGTTAGTGACAGATACATACTAAATATCAGACCAGTGCATCAGACCAACCGGTTTTTGGACCACTTTGGTCCGACGTCACATTTCCTGGTGGTCGTGAGATTCTTGAGATACATGAGTTGTCGACACAGAACTGACTTCTGAGGAAAGTAAAAATGACAACTTGTGGGAATTTCAACTCATTTTCACTTTATGTGATGAAAAAATTGAGCCTCTTGTGCAGAGGTTTCGGTATTAACCGAAAATGTTATAATGAGCGCCCTGGTTATTAACATGCGTACCGCGTCATACCTTGATCGAACGAGTATGAAAGTTGATCATTGGAGTTGATGAGAGTTGACAAGCGAGAGTTTGCCCAACTCTCCAGCCTTAGTCAAACAAGAACAACAGTTGTATGAGAGTCAACTGGACATTACCGATTAAATGAGCAAAAACGCTCATCAACTTTCATCGAAATTTGAACCCGATCAAAGTTGATTAGATGAGAATCATGAGATTGCACGAGAGTTGATGAGAGTTAATACCTTGATATATATTGGTCAAGCGCGCAAAAACTCGCATCAACTTTCATCAAAATTTGAACCTGCTCAAAGTTGATCAGATATAAAGAGTGCATGAGAGTTGGCTGTCACGCGACTTTGGTTAGCTGTTCTTAATTATTAATGCTTTCCCAACACTATCATGTATTCTATATTTAAGTTAAAACATAGTTGGAACACTCATCAGACATTTATTTTGTTAATCTAGAGCTTAAAATGTCCCCGTAACAATGCGTGACTGGAATTCGTAGTTAGTTGTGCTCGAGAATGCGGCCTGTTTCACGCGCGTGAACACGAAGGGCAGAATCGTGCAAACGGTAAGCACGGTTCTGAACTCGTGCGTGAGAACAGAGCTGTATGTATATCATAGGTCATCATAGCACACTGTTCAGGACATCAAGCACTAATAATAATATTTAATTAAAGTGCCACTAACCCCAATTATGATTTTTGGTATTTGTGATATTTGCGTCATTTTATATTAGACGAAATGTATAAAAAATCTTATCTTGATCAACTTTTTCACTGTCAAAGTTGCCGCATATGTTGTTATTATGAGATGAATTGTGAATGAGTTTTTCTTGTGTTGTTCTGCTAAAATCATGTCCATTGTAACAGTGGCGGAAAAGTTGAGCAAAATGAGATTTTTTACTATAAATATATATTACATTCAGAATGATCCAAATATTACACATACCAGCAATCATACATATTTGGGGTTCGTAGCACTTTATACTGTATGATGTCTTTGTTTCATGTGACTCGAATATTAATGAACCTTGACGAGTTTAGGCTTTTCTTTGTTCCCATACAGGAAATTAAACAACTGCCGGACAAATAACAACGAACGCAGATCATTCAAAATACTATTCAACAGACCTGTCAACCTTAAAATTTTAAAACAGGGAGATTTCGCTTTTTAGCCCTTAAAAAACTGTGAGATTTTATCAATAACCGGGAAAGCAAAATTGAAGTCATATGCAGTGTTCAAAACAGTAAAAAATTCTAGTAATTTTCCCGGCTTTATAATCATTATAATTGCATTCGCTTCAACAACTTGTTTAATTTAATTTAATGCTAACATGGCAAGAATCCTGGCAAGACAAAAATAATGAAAATATATTCCCAATCCAAATTCCCTGATCTTAGTCCAATAACCATTGAAGTCAATAACAATAATGTTAAGGAGATTACATCCGCCATTTTACTTGGAGTTACATTGACCAACATCTGAAATGGGATAGGCAAATTAATACCATCTACAATATAATCAATTCTAGACTTTACCTGCTCAAACGTATACGTAGCTATCTCACTTTTCAATCCCGTATTCAATTATATTACGCACTAATCTACCCACACTTGCTATATTGCAGCACAGTCTGGGGCAATGCTAATAACGATCTAATTACGTGCCTACTAAAACTACAGAAACGTGCTGCGAGACTAATTCTTGAGCAGTCAACTGAAGTGCCTTCAATTGTGCTTTTCCGTAAACTCAACTGGATACCTATTTTTAATTTGATCAAAATGAGAAAAATATTATTGGTATTCAATACTTTAAAAACATCTTGGCCGCCGGATCTTCGTAAATTGTTTGTCTTTGTTCGCGACTCTCATCCAATTCCAACTAGATCGTCTATTACAGACTTAAAAGTTCCATACTTCCATCAGTTAAGACTACGCAAGCAAAATCTAAAATTTCCTTCAGTGGTGCAAGTTTATTTAATTCTTTACCTTCCGAATTAAAAGAAATTGAAAATCACTCAATTTATTCCTATAAAAAGAAGCTCAAAACCTACTTTATTCAATTGAATTATGAAGTAGATCACGTTAATAAATTCCGCTGCATCGATTGTAAGCATATTACTCATTGTCAATGTTACTCTCAATAGGATTTTCTTTTTATGTACTACTATTATTTTTTATATATTATTATTTTTTATATATTGTTATTACTATATTATGTCGTGACGTTGTATATTAATTGTATTTAGTATAATTACATAGGTGATTATTGAAAATTCTCCACGCTGATTGGTTGCCGTTGAGGTGATTATTACGCGATAATCACCTAAGCGATTTTCAAAATGGCGGCCGAAGCCTTTTTGTCAATTAAATGACGAAGAAATGTGTATTTTCTTATTTTTTTCCAAATAATCACCTATGAAATTATACTAAAACAATTATTCACCTCAGGCTCTGTGATTATCGTGAATAAAAACCTCGACTTCGTCTCGGTTTTTATTCACCGATAATCACCTCGCCTTCGGCGAATAATTGTTAAATATTTATATAAGTAAATTGTGTTAATGATTGTATCATGCAGGACCCCACTGAAAAACACATTAGTGATGTGGGTATCCTGGATAAATATAATTATAAATAAAATTAGATATCGAGGGCCATTGGGAAGAATACTATATTAAGTAATCAATGTAATCCCTCATTAAATAAAGTTTTATTATTATTATTATTATTATCCCACGTTACATCTCATATTCTTACAATAATCTACTTATCGCTTATAGTGCGAAAGTGGATAAAAAAGCTGAACACTTGTAGTTCAAGGACAGGAGTAAGTTTCAGCTTGGACACGATACCGGAAGACCGGGAGAAAAAGGTCAAAAACCGGGAGTCTCCCGGCGGCACCGGGAGAGTTGACAGTTCTGTATTCAATAGAATAGTGTTTTCTTTCATGGTGCAAAACTAGTGCTTTAGATCTCTGGCTTTAGATATATTTTATAAGGTTTTTTAAATCGAGTAAAAAAATTTCTCAAATATCAGCCACAAATTTCTATGAAATCTCGTTAGATATTTAATCGCACTCCAATTTCCATTCTAGTTTGAGAGATCAGTGGAGATCTAATTGCTTCGCGATCGTTGCCAAGACAACCGCGTCCCTTGGAGAAATCATATAAACATTGCATTGAAGATTGGATGTGATTCATTCAAGTCTGAACTCGATCTAAATATACAACAAAACGACGTAAAATTTTAATTTAGATTCTTGGTTTTATATTTTGCATCAGTTTGAAGAAATGGCTGCAAATTCTGGCAAATTTACGGACAGAAATCCAAATATTTTAGCGGTATGCTTTTGCATTTTACTACCCTGAATTTTTTCTACGTTTTGTATCGGAATGCTGGAATATAGAATGTCTGTGTTTATTTTATTTCTTTTTTGCTTTTAGGCAGGAAAAGTGGTTGGAATTACTGGAGATTCAACTAGCGAATGCTTGGCCGTTCAACACGAGGTAAAAATGTTTTAAAAATTACTTTAAAAAATTGATGTCAAAATTTGATGTCTGTATATATAACTTTTATATTTACATGTCTAAGGTATGCACTTACTGTATTATGGCACCTGTTTAATAATACTTTGAGTTAGAATTTATTTACCTTTCCGCACAATAAGGGAGCTTTAATTATTTATGATATATTATATTATATTATATAGAATTTATTTACCTTCCTGCATGCATGATAGGGGCGCTTTTATTTATGATATATTATATTCTATATTATATAGATTTTATTTACCTTTCTGCATGATATATTTTTTTATTGATTAAAAATTAATACAAGCTGAAAATTTAATAAGGCTCCTAACCTCATATATGTGATCCTTCCTGTCACAATCCAGTGATTGTGACAATCCATGCAGTGATTGTTTTCATTGTTTTTGAAAAATCCAGCTGTTCTCCATGTCACATAGCTCATTGTTTTGATGTATGTGTAACGAGAGGCTATCACAGGAGAATTCATACTTGAAATTTCCATTCACAAAAACCTACAATTAGTTAGGTATATTTTGAGTGAAGATGCCCAGAATTCCGATATTTACCCATAAACCTTACATTGGCATCGCCTTAGTATATATATATACACAAACGTGCACTTAGAGCTTGACAACTGGACTCTGTAGCTCCGTTGGTTAGAGCATAGCCTGAAAACAGACCTACGTTTCGCCCGCCCTAAAATTTGTGGGTTGACGGAACACTGCACTGGAATCACAGGTTTCGGGTTTCAGTTCCTGCCAGAGGGCCAGGCTTTTAGACAGAAGGGCATCCTGGGACATCCCTAGAACAAAAAATGGACGCCTTTGGACGCCCAAATTCTGGGGGTAAAGGGAAATTATTTTCAATAATTTCACTAACTAAGTATATTAATATATCTGAAACGAAATAGTGAAATCGGAAACGAAATCTCATTATTATACATTTGACATTTTGATCAATTTGATGGTGTACCTGGCTGAATGAAAATGTCGTAGTTAAGTAAAGAAACATAGCAGCACAAACTCACAAAGCCAAGTGTGTTTGAAAAATTTCGAACAAGCTTTGAACAGATACTGACGAAAACTTCAAAACTTCAAAGGTTTTCCAGAGGAACATTTTCTCACCCCTCTACTGTAGATGTTTCGTTAAATACCAAAATTGGACGCCCTCTTTTAAGACCCTGACTAAAAGCCTGCAGAGGGCCTATAGTTACATTTTTTACAACTGCTTCTGGTTAGGTCTCAGATAAATGAATAGAATTCACACTTGACATTTCCACCAACAGAGCGCTATTACAGGGTAATGCATTTTAATTGTTTTACTGCAACGTAGGATTCAGTTCCACCGATGATAAAGAAGTTTTATGAGACGACCAGGCCTGAACCAGGGAAAGCAAGGATACACTATGGCAAAGCAGATGACAGTAAGATTGCATATGAAATAGCCCATGGAGTTAATACAAGAACTTCACTTGTGGTAAGATATGTAGTTAATGTCAGGGATAGATTTACTGGGAGGAGTTGCACCCCCTTAGACTTGGGGGGGTGTGCCAATTTCATTATCAAATCCATTTTGTTCAATTTGGGAAGGCAGTATCCTATCATCATTACCACAATAATTCTACTGAGCCCTTCCTAGGGGCAATGCTTTGCCATTCTACAGAACACTAGCACTTAATGCATAATTCCAAAAATGATTATAATATATTGAACTTGGTCAACGGTCACACCCAGAACTATGACCATGAGTCGATGAGCACTTCACCCTACCAGAAATGGTTACTTTTCCTCGTATATACTCAATAATTATCCTGTGCATATATAGTTCTCAAATCTTTTATCCAAAATATATTCACATGATGATTATTTCAATTCAGGCAGGTGATTTGGTGAATCCCATTCCAAAAACAGCTTTCCGTCAAAGAATGGAAGATAAGAAAGAAAGTGAATATCTCAGTAAGAAAAAGGCACCACTAGGTGAGGTACTACTATTTTAGGTATGAAGCAAATTTATAATAGTTTGTTTGTGGAAACACCACGTAAATTTATTACTGCAAGGCTTTCGATCCGTAAGCCCACTGATGAAGATCCGGGCTTACGGATCGAAAGCTTTGCAGTAATAAATTTACGTGGTGTTTCCACAAACAAACTATCATATGTTTTATCGCCATGCAAACATACAAAGAAGCAATATCAAAAATTGTCTAAAAATTGTCTAGTGAATAGTGATTGACCGATTGTGTCACAGTCGGAAATTACTGATTTATACAACAATCTACCCAATGATTCTACTGATTCTAATTGTTTACCGATAAGGCAAAAATCGCTTCCTCTGTTTTACAATTATGACGTCATGGGCACCCCGGGGAAATCTTGCCCCAGGGCCCACGCAACCTCTCGGCGGCCCTGCAAATCCTGATTAATCCACCTGTTCCCATCTAAGTTTCTTGAACAACGCTTTTTTTTTCAGGCACATCTCATGACCAAATGCCAGGTCTACCTGAGGGTATGGGCCTCTACAATGTCTCCTATGGCATACCCACGTTAAAAGAAGGCAAAGCTGGCGACATCATTAACCCACCTAAATCACGAAAACAGGTTGACCATGAATCTGGCGATGGTCAAGATTTATACAAAGTCAGTCACCATGCTTATGACGTGGGTGAAACATATGACAGAAAATATAACTGGCAACGAGTGCCAAAGACCAGCACGTTCGGTGTGGAAACACCGCACGACAATGATGGTATTCATGTTAAGAAAAGCTTAAAGTGGCTTTATAACACCCAAACGTAAGTTAGTCACGTATTTATACATTCTTAAACTATTTACTGAACTAACTTTATTTAATACTTTTGTGTGTGTGTCTGTGTTGGTGTTTATGTACTCAGGTGAATATGATGTTTGCAATGTTACTCTGAGTGTGCATCCACACCGGGCAAGCTGAAAAGTTTAGTGCCTGACCACGGTGGGAATCGACGCGACCTTTGGGAATATACTAGTCCAAATGCTCTACCAATTGACCATTTGCGTAATAGACAAAATTTTGATCTAAACAAGTCTAGACAAATATTTCATCACAGCTTGAAAGAGCATCAAAAAATTAGTAATATTCCAAAGTTTCGTTGCGAAATGTTGTAAAATGCGGATAATATAGCCTTGCGAAGTTTGCAATTTTCAGTCATTTTAGATTACAAACGGGAAATTGACAGCCTCACAGGGCTGCAAATTACTGTCGGACATCGGACAATGTCCGACTAAATTTGGCAAATGTCCGAGCAAAAGTAATTTTGATCGGACATTGGTCTGATCACAAAAAAAATTGTCACATACATTTTTTTGTTGTGACAAAATCCGATTGCAAATTCACTCAATTTGCATTTTGCAATAAAATTTACGAGGCATTCTAGCATTTTACTTAACGTTGCGCCGGAATGGCGATACATACTTGTCTCGTGATTTATATCGACCAAATTTAGTGATATTGGTTTTTGTCCGACCAAATTCAAGTTATGTCTGACCAAAATTAAAAGTGATCGGACAAATGTCCTGTCAAGTCAAATATTTATTTGCAGCCCTGGTCTCAAAGCGTATCGGGCTGTCAATTTCCCGTTTGTAATCTAAAATGACTGAAAATTGCAAACTGCGCAAGGCTATATTATCCGCATTTTACAACATTTCGCAACGAAACTTTGGAATATTACTAATTTTGTGATGCTCTTTCAAACTGTGATGAAATTTTTGTCTAGATCAAAATTTAGTCTATTACGCAAATTGTCAATTGAGCTACGAGGTCAAAGTCAGTTCGAGTTGGTGATATTTCGAAACTGAGTCTAGTTCCTTCGATATCAATGCATATCAATGTATTGACCGTAGCTCAGTTGATAGAGCATTGGACATTTGGACTAGTATCCCAAAGGTCGCGGGGTTCGATTCCCACCATGGTCAGGCAAACGTTTCAGCCTGCCCTGTGTGTAGTAACACCACAAGCATATAACTTTATTTAAACTAACATTCCTTTGAACATACACTGGAAAAAATTTTGAAAATCCATAGAAGGCCATAGAATGGAAATTGTATGGACCTTCATTGGAAATAGAATTGATTTTGATTATTCATAATAATTTTGTATATTTCCATCCTATGGATATAGTATCGAAATAGTATGGATATACTATGGATTTAGTCAGTGGTGCAATTGCAAATTTCATAATATGGATTTCACATTTTTTCCCAGTGATACATGTAACATATACATATTTCATTTCTTACAGCGAGAAAGCGGCGCATATCGTGTCCCAACGTCTGGAGGAATTTCGTGAGCGTACCCAACCACAACTTGGTAAAGTACATGACCCAATCAAAGACACCATGAACGTACCATCAGATCACACGTTTGGTGTCTTGTTTAAACCAGATGATTATGGCGCTGGAGACCTTATACATGGCCGTACACCCGATAATTACATGAAAAGAGATGAGCATCAACGCGCTGTGTTGGCTGCGGTACGGCAACATCTGAAGAAATCAAACTATCATCATTTTAATGACTTGAAATCAGCTTTTCAATTCTATGACAAGGTATGTGAAGAACCATTTTAGGTTGATGCGAGTTACCATAAAGTGTTCTGATGATATACAGAACTTACATGCATGTACTTAAAATGACCTGATGTTGTACAGAACTCACTGCTGACGTATATATTAGACATATCTTCAATGTGGGCCACCGGCTACCGGTTAAGTGATTAGAAACAGTATACAGAATCCACTGTTGAGTTCAGCATGGTCAGATCATGTTCTGTCTTTTTTCATTTATTATTTATCTAATACATGCGTAAAAATCTCCGATCTTGTAGCAAGTCTGCCAACAAGCCGTCAACAAGTTGTGTTCGCACTGCTTGTCCCAAGTTGTCAACAAAGTTTGGAACAAGCTGTTAACAATTTGTAACAACCTTGTTGATATATTATCAGGTTTGTTGCAAGGTTGTTCCAACAAGTCCGATACAATCATGATATAGCAATATTGTTACAACCTTGTAACAATCTTGTTCATCATGCCCTGTATCAGACTTGTTAGAACAACCTTGTAACAAGTCTGATAATGCCATCAAGCTTGTTACAAGTTGTTAACAGCTTGTTCCAAACTTGTTACAACAACTGGGAACAAGCAGTGCGAACACAGCTTGTCGACAGCTTGTGAACAGATTTGTAACAACTTGTTTGCAGACTTGTAACAACTTGTGTGTTTTTACGTGTGTAGTTTAATATGAATTCCACGTATGTTTAAGGACAAATCGGGCAAGATCAGCATCGAGGAACTCCAGGCGATATGTGAGCAACTAAAACTCCCAGTTGAAGATGATTTGCTCAATTCTCTATTATCGTACTGTGATGTGGATGGTGACAAACAGATTGACTACGAGGAGTTTTGCAAGTTCTTAAATTGGCAAAATGCTTGGCAAGACGAGTTGATGTATCACCAACAAACATCGCAAGAGGTGAGCCGAGTGTTAAATCACCTTTGTATAACAGCGTAAAAATCTCGCATCTTGTAGCAAGTTTGTCGCAACAAGCCGTCAACAAGTTGTGTTCGCATTGCTTGTCCTTGGTTGTCAACAAGTTTGGAACAAGCTGTTAACAACTTGTAACAACGTTGTTGATATTATCAGACGTATTGCAAGGTTGTTCCAACAAGTCCGATACAGTCATGATATAACAATATTGTTACAACCTTGTGTCGTCAACCTTGTAACATTCTTGTTATATCAGGACTGTATCAGACCTGTTAGAACAACCTTGTAACAAATCTGATAATGTCATCAAGCTTGTTACAAGTTGTTAACAGCTTGTTCCAAACTTGTTATACAACAACTGGGAACAACTGTAACAACTTGTTTGCAGACCTGTAACAATTAGTGCGTTATTACGTGTGTATTTCAGCGCTCATAATTAAAACTCGTACAATTCTAGATGCAAGAAAAGGAGAAGCTTCAAACAGAGAACCTAGAACTACCAGATATTCATAAAACAACACGACAGATCGATAACGCCGTTGGCGGGTGGAAGACATCTTCATCTACTGTTAACGCGACTGTAGGACGCTGCAGGACCAAAGGTACTTGACTAACAATTCATCCACGACTTTAACTCGGTTGTGGGAGAGTTGTTTTTAAGGCACCTTATTGACTAACTTTATAAGGTTGATATTGGATAGTTCCACCAATTCTAAACAGTTCTTTCTGAGGTCCAGTAAAGGTCATTTCTTAGTTGCACTACAAGAGAGAACCTAAACTAACTTCAGTTATACGGGATTGTTGTATCAGTTCAATCAAAGCTTTGTGATCCAGAAGGACACCTAATTCTTCAATACATTTCAGACTGGAGATCGTATGGAGTACCGACAATACGAAGTGACCTTGCCGCTCCACGCATCAGAAGAATTTCAGATAGAACTGTAAGTAAATGAGGGTGTCCACGGACCTTGAAAATCCTGGAAAGTCCTTGAATTGGAAAAAAAAATCCAGGACTGGAAAGTCCTTGAAAATCAGTAGAAGTCCTTAAAAGTCCTGGAATTAATTTTCTTAACTTCCAGCTGTGTCAACATTAGTGATTTTTATTAAAATTACTGAATAAAGTGAATTATTTGCTGGTTAAAGTCTAAAATCCGTACCATTTGGTAAATACTTGGAAACACCTTCGAAACCACAACTAAACTTAAGGCCTGGTCAAGCGAGGGCGAGAGTTGGGAAGCGAGAGTTTGCATTAGCTCGCATGCCCTGGTCAAACGAAGACAAGAGTTTGATGAGAGTTGATGAGCGTTGACTAAATATTACTCTCTAAAACTCTCATCAACTGTCATTAAAATTTGTACCAGTTCAAAGTTGGTGACTGAGAATTGACGAGAGTGTAGGAGTGTATGAGAGTTGGCAGTCAAACGCGAACGAGAGTTGCAACTCTCATCGACACTCGTACTCTTTTGACCGAGCCTGTTTGTAATGGTAGCTTGTTGTACAGGGTTTGTACAGGTCATGCAGGAAGAGTCAAATTCAAGGACATTCAAGGCATGTATCAGCAAATTCAAGGACTAAATACTGAAGAAGAAGGCGTTAGAAATCAGCAAAATCTGACGTTGAATTGTTCAAAACGTAACTTTATAATGAGGTCAGATATGAACATGCAAAATCAGTTCAACAAAATGTCCGTCTTGAATGTCAAACAATTTCAGAAAATATCCAAAAACTAGAGCAAGACGAATTCAAGCACATTCAAGTATTTCTTTACAAATTCAAGGACATGCAAGGCCTTGAATTTTTGTTTTCAAATTCAAGGACATTCAAGGACTTTCAAGTTTTGTACGAACCCTGGTTGTAATAGTAGCTGAAGAATTAATTTCTATATGTCTCAACAGAATTATGGCGATGAGTCAGATGCTTATGGTTTAATCAATCCGTCAGTCTACAGTAAGCATGGTGTACATGAAAAAGACTTCTTTCAACACAGAAGCCCGAACGAGGTACAGTAGCTATATGTCAATTAATGCTGAGTATGTTCGTCCTTTAGTTTGGGCACACTCGCTGTCATCTGATGGGGTCAGGGACGTCGCTACTGGGTGGGGGAGGGTGTTACACCAAAAAGTTTACTGAAAAGCGCAAAGAAGTATTTTGTATCGCGCGAATTTTTCACCTTGTATAGGCTAAAAACACGCCTTACATGCAAGCATACACTTTTTCATCACGAGTTTGATGGAGTCAGTCCGTTGAAAAGTTAATGGTCAAAATGTTCTTCAAACTTGGTCAAAATATCAGGACACTCCCCCAATGTTAAAGACTTCGCGACGTCCCCTGTTCACCATTTCAATATGTAGTTTTACTTTAAATTTACTTTAAATCTTTCACTAATAATAAACCTTAATTTATAGGTACACCGTGTTATAGATAGCGTTGGAATCAGAATGACAGCGGAAACATTCGATGCATTATGGAGGAAAGCTGCGTCGCAAAACCCACAAGGCTTGGTAAGATTTATATCCCACTGCTATTCTCATTTGTTAGTTGAGTCGACTTGGAGAACCACAGAAACATGAGAGAGAATTTATAATGGATACTGTAGCTCAGTTCCATCGAAATTCTTCTCCCTGGTGATTCAATAACGGACATCTCTTAGTGGTCCAGTGTTAACCTAACTAAAGTTTATTTCTCCAATATTAATTGCTCTATCATTTATTGGTTCTGTACTTCTTTGTTACCACAAGGCATGGCCGGATTTTGAGGGGAGGTGTAGGGAGGTGCGCTGCGCAACTCCCCTGAGATCGTTTTGCACCTCCCCTGAAAATTTTTGCACCTCCCCTGAAAAGTTATGCACCTCTATGGGGGAAAAGTTTCAATGATAGATCAGAGTGAAAATTTGACATTTTGTGGTTGCTTAGGGTCTACACTTCGTAAGAAAGTTTTTCTGTAAAATTGAAACAGTAATAGCCATTCATCTCTGTATCAAGTACAGTACCCTTTTAATGCAATGTTTTGAAAGAAACTTTGCAGTAACTGTATTGAAGAGCAAAATTGAATGAGTTGTACAGTCTGATAATTCATTAATACACTACATGCATACGTCACGTCGCGTTGACTTTGGCCCATTCTAAGCCCTAATTTTCCATGGGGGTCGTGAGCTAGACCGCTGCACCTCCCTTAAATTTTTCCACCTCCCCCACTATTTCCACCAAAATCCGGGCTTGCTACAAGGTTGACCTAGTTCAGCAGTATTATAAGCAACGCACTGATGAAATTTTCAAATGCTAGTTAAACACTGCTGAGTTGATGGCTGATAAACATTTCATTTTGTCATTTAGGTAAGCGTGAATTCATTCAAAAAAGTGTTGGACACGATGCATGCTGACGAGCAATTAACTACACAAATGCAAGAAGTCTAAAACACGCGATGAACATAAAAATACCGTGTATTTAAGAAGGTATTTCGTTACTTACAAAGGTATTATAATTGTAGATATTGAATATTGTATATATATATATATATGCATTACTAACGATAAAATCATTGTTGATTTAGAAAACCTATATTTTTAGAATAAAACAATCCTATATGTTAATTAAAAACCATGTACAGTACCCTACTAGTTGGTATCAGAAAAAAATTGGGAGACTTTGGGTTTAAACCCTGGCTGGACTAACACTTGTTGTTAGCTAGCCATAATTCTGTCTTTGCTAAAAACTGCTGCCTTTGCTAAAAACTGCAATAGATGGGTAATTCCCTAAGCACATTCTTAGAGAAAGAGAGTTAATTCTTTGCAAAGTATCCATAATTATTCTTTTCCACTAATTATACTGCACACATGCCATGGACGGCAACTAGCGATGATCTTAATTGTAGCACAGACTGGCATTTCGGTAAATATTCCACGTGGACTGAAGAATCGCTTCTAACCAGATTCAAACCAACACTTTTCAAAAATCTTGCTACTGGATGGTCGTCAGCAAAAACTTCTGAAAACTCTATGTTGTTTTTATTCACATCTGTCGATTGAATCACTTTTTGTATCTAAAACAAAAGATTGTGAAGTAATATAGGTGACCTGCATGGTTTCACCATCTGACCATCATGATATTTCTATTACCTATGGTGTCATTTAAACACTAGCTGTCACGCAGCAGATGGTACATGGTCAATGAAAATGGTGAGAATTAATGTGCAGGGCAGGAAAAAAATAATTTTCCCGGTAGCACATGCACAGACAAAATTTTCCTGACCAACGGAGTATTTTTGTACTAAATCTGCATGTGCATAAACATATAGTACGTGTTCTAGCCGACCATGGTTTTAAATTCAAGGAATAATGTCTGTCAACCATATGTTGTTGCGCCCAAAGTGGGACATAGGTGTTAAGGTTTCCTTCAAATTTTCAATAGCAAATCTTCATTCAAACGAATTTCCTGCAGCTGTTTAACATTTCCTGCGAGCAGTGCTCATCTATTTTTTCAACCCCTGAGAATGTGATCAGTAGATATGATTCTTGCAAATGATAGAATGGATATGTAATTCATACTTACGGGTAACATTATGTCATTTCTATGTGAGATATCACAATCTGTAAGAGTCTGAATCTGTACATTACTCATTTCTGAAAAACAGGAAACAAGACTGTTATGATTATGATTATTCAGCTCGCTTCACCATCTGGGCTTTTGAGTGACCAATCACATCAAGTATTACGCTTACCTATATTACCTACTAAGCTTAGACTATTTATTTTTACAACCATTTTTTCCCTAAGGGACCGGTCATTATTTATGGTGGGGGGTGGCACCGAAGAGAAATGTTTTCCGTGTCAAAAATTTTGCTAACCCAACCATTAAAAAGACAAAAACTTGATTACCCAACCTCAAATATCAATTAAAAAATAACTACCCACCCCTGGCCAAAAACTTAACAAAAGGATACCATTCAGTTGTCATACATGTCCTTTATCACTTCAGTGACATGAGTTTGATAAATGCTTGTGAAATTTTCTGCAGTCTAAAGTTTCATGTTGTCTGCACATGTACTTTCTTTGGAAACACAATTTGTTTTGTCAAACTATGATCAAGATAGTGACTCTGATTGATTCACATATTGTATTGACAAATGACTGTTGACATTGCTTTTCAGTCTCCAATATTTCAGTGGGTCATGCTTTGAAATGACAATAAATTTTTATTACCCAACCCTTGAGTTGTTTTGTTTTTCATTTACCCAACCTTTTACTTACTCAAAATTTTGTTTACCCAACCCTTTTCTCTTCGGTGCCACCCCCCGCCTTAAATATTGACCGGTCCCTAACTACAGTATGTTTATCCTAACCCACCCTGTCAAGTTTCCCTGTGGGAGGAAACCGGAGAGCCCAGAGAAAAACCCAAGACTTTCTGCATGTTGACTGAATGACTCTTTTCACATTGAGTCCACACATGAGTCCATATCGAGAATTGAACCCACTGTCGAGCAGACCTGCCAAGGTTCCCGCATTTCGCGTGAAAGTTACGCATTCTGCTTTTGTTCCCGCTGTCCCGCACGCATAACTAAAATGATCTTAAAGTTACGCATTTTTAACATTATATGACGCTATCCCACTTTTCGTACAATAACTCATTGACAACGCTTTGTACAAACGTAGAATTAGAGTTAACAACGTTAGAATTAGCGTCAGACGCATCGTGGCCTGCGGTACATGCCCAAATACGATACATGTAAGGATGGCTCGGAATGTGTTATAGTCATTATAGTATTTAGATATGTAATTTATATTGTGACGAAGTTTATAAAATTTTAAAAAAATTTTAAAAAATTAAAATACGCTTTCTGACGATCTGGAGACTCAAAATTTCCAAAATTTTCTCAATTTTCCTAGTCACATTAAACTGTAAGTAACACTGTCATATTGATCAGTAGTTACTATTTTAGTTATCTTCGTTATTAGGCAGTAGTAAAACATTGAAATCTTGGGTAGGAAAGACTCTATAAAAATGCTATTTCCAACGGTCTAGAGAATTCAAATTTTTTTGCTTTCATGGTTGCTCGGCGCCAACCATGATGGCGCCTCGTGGGCGACGCAAAATCAGGTGAATTGAAACAATTCCGGTAAATCTAACCTCCCCCCCCCCCAAAGGCAAAGTCCTCGCAACGGCCCTGGTCACGCATTCTTATCTTCCGAACTTGGCAGGTCTACTGGTCGAGATCAAGGCTGAAGGCTAAATTATTTAATTACTGGGCAGTTCTATTCTATCAGTTCTACATAGAGAAAACCTGCAGTGTTTGGTACATCTCTGTTGGTACATAGTAAAGTAATTTTATTTCTATACTGGCTGGATATAGTCCTATCATGTCAGAATTGTTCCTTCCCTTATTGGTCCCTTGTGACTGCATATAGCAGGAATCTCACACTGCAACCACACCCCTCCTGCACTAACCTGACAAACAATCCAAGAGAACATAGAGGGACTTCAATAGATCCAGCTTTTCTGGATAAACCAGTTTATTTTTCTCTTTGTCAATCTGAAAACCTGCTTTTACTAAGAACTTGAAACAATCTGTTGAACAATCTTCCGAGAATAATTTCTGTAAGTGTTGAACTGTAATCTTGCATGTTACATCTTCCCCTTGCAAAGTGTCAATTGCATTTTCAACCTAGAAATGTTGTTATAAACATTTATCTTATGTCAAGGTCGTCTTTTGTTTGCCAAAACCATAGAAGTATTTCTATACAGTATACACTTGTCAAGTTTTCCTTGTCCAAAATATGGCATGACTAGCTTTGGATCATTAGGCTCTTTGGCAAGGAAATATTGTCAATTTTTTGCTGTACACATGAGCATATAAAACTTGTCAAGGAAGACTAAAACTCATCTGTACGGGGCTTAATAACTAAAGACAGTCTGTGAGGATCGATGGATGATAACAGGGATGGATCCAGCATGATCTGGTATAGGGGGGGTGTGTGCTCTGCCAGCTCTGGTGCTGAGTTGTGTCAGTCATGTGTGCCGCCCGCCCATCAACTTGCTTCACTACTGCAAAGTCTTGCTTGACTACTGTATTTGAATTGTAATTGTTATTCACAGTTCACTTATCATCATACCCGGGGGCCTGGGGCAAATTTTTTTTTAGGGGCCCCTATCTAAAAAAATTTTTCCGGAGAACAACCTCCACCCCCAATTGCCAAAAAATTTTCGGTCAGTGTACCATTTTAGGGGTAAAAAATTTTTCTGCACGAGTACGTTGCAATTGTTTTACAGGGACTTTATCTCATTTTTTTATGCCAAATTTTGGTACTTATAGCCCAAGAAAACAGATATCTTGTCCTTTGCGCAGAAATATTTAACACACAAAAAAGACTGGGGCCCAACAAAAAATTTTCAGGGGCCCCAGCACCTCGGGGCTGCCCCCCCTCTTTGCGGCCCTGGTTATTACTCAAATTACTGTATCTCATTTTGCCTCTAATAATTTTTTGCTTTATCATGAAAAATAGCACCCCTCTGGCCAGGGCTAGGGTGCACCCCAGTAAATCCATCCCTGGACGATAATGGATGATCCTATTACAGTAACTGTAAATTGGGCCCTAAATAATTTGAAGATTCAATCAACAAGAAATACTTACAACAACATTCAACTTGAAAGCACAAGTTGGTTTATTTTTCAGAATTTTTCTCAGCATAGTAATTAAATCATTACTGACTTCATTTGTAAGTAACCCACTTAAGGCTTCTTGTACACTTTCAACTACAAAAAATATAAAGTTCCGACTAACGATATTGTTGAACGTATGAACACAAGCTTGCATAATAGTAGAGTATGACAATAATTAAAAGATGATAGACTAATTAAAATTATCTTTCTAAAGGATCAGAGTCAAACACTCATGACTGAAACAGTGATCGGAATTTTCCATTAATTGTCTTTTCATTCTTTTGAAAATATTCCTGTTCCCCGACAGTCACTGATCATTAATGTTTTGTCATATTTGGGATGTTATTATGCCAATTCTACAACTTATAATTATTTTGGATAACTGACTTAATTGTTCTAGTTTACAACACGCAATCGGAATAAAGGTCGTCAAAATTTAAGGTATGATAATTATAACTAGTATGTGTATTTATCTACCTTCAAAAATTTTATCTCCACCCACAAGAGGTGCATCAGTTACGTCATTCCCAAGTTGTAGGTTTAAAGCACCGTTATTTCCAACTTTTAATTTGTAACATGTATATGCTAGTGCGGTTCCAAGAGGTATGGTATACTGTCTGTGTTGTTTTGTATCACTTGAGGCATCGCTGTTTAGCTTCAGTGCAACTTGAGGGCTGCCACCAAGATCAGCTAGAAACAGTAAAGTTTTTAATGTCAAGTTGACGGTTCAGTGAGGGATAGATCTACTGGTGGGGTGCAGGGGTGTGTGCACCCCCCTAGTGGTTGCAGCCCCTACCCCCTCCCCCGCCTTGAAGAAAACTCCGGTATTCCGTATTTGAGTTGTGAATACTACTTATTCCATTGAAACAATTGATTTTCAAATCATAAATATTTCTGACATACCACCAAAATTCATATCCTCGTCAAGAATTTCAGATGATAAACCAGATGTCACCACCATACCAATTAAAAACAAACTTCTTTTTTTACAACTCTTGATTGCTTTCAATAACGGATGGTCAGTTTTCACCATCTTGCCATTAACTGCGTCGTACAGTTTTTGCCATAGCACTTCCTGTTTCATCACATTGCCAAGCTTTAACGAGACTTGCATTGTCTCATTAACACTAACATCAACATCAAACTCCTCTGCTATCTTGCCGCCAATTTTGCCAGCTTTATGAAATGATGGTGTACTTGAATAGTTTTGAAACAGTACTGATGAGCTTTGCAGATTTTTAACATCAACAGGCTGGAAACAAATAGCTGTTATATAGAACAAGTAAAGCACATTCGATAGGGTGCATGCATTGTCAGAGGGTAATGTCTAAAAGGGATGGGCGAGAGGTAGTTTATGAGCTGGTTCCAAAATTGAAATAAGAGTTTGCGTCAGTATTAGGTTAGTGTGGGGGTTAGGGTTAGGTAGGTTTAGTATGGTTGCAAGTGGCTGGTTATTGATTCTTTTACGTTTTAATGATCTTAAAACTGGCGGTCATCTTGAAAACTTGGCCCTAGTCCATCCCCTTTAGCCACAATCATTGTCAGAGCTATACATTCAATAAATCGCCCGGGGGGGGGTGTGTTTCGGACCCCCTAATGTGCCATGTTACTGTAATAATGTTGACAGCAGGGACACCGGAACGATGTGCAAGGGGGGCAGATTTTTGTGAACTAGGGCACTTTTGAATTGATATATACTAAGAGATGTTTGCAAAACATCGGGAGTTGAACTTCGCCTAATCATGTTTTCTATTTCTTGGATGATAGGGTTGTGAGGGGGTTCTCCGCCAGGCGATTGTGCTATTCTTGAAGCTCAATGACTGCATTTCTTGCGTTTTCTGAAGCAAATTCATAAAAGAATTGCACTAACATTTCTAACAATTCGCTATTTCGCCAAGGCAATCCTTTAGATTGAAAGGGCACTTTTGCCCCCCTTGCCCCTCCTGGTAAAGGGCAACGGGGGCAGCTGCCCCTCCGGCCCCCCAGTTCCGGCGTCCCTGGTTGACAGATTTTGTAAATCGAGAAACAGTTGCGAAAAATGCAACTATAGGTCCTCTGACAGGAATTAAACCCCAACTGATGAACTGAGCCAGTTGTTGATATATATAGTAAGGTCTATGGGTAAATATTTTGGTGCCTCACGGGTTTTATCGATGAAAATTTCGAGGGTAAATTTTATACATTACTGTACATAAAGTAATACTATATTTCTATTTATGTTAATTATATTGATACAGTAACCTACCTCGATCAAAACATCATTCAGTGTCAACTCGGTTGGAATATATTTATACTCAGATTTCCAGGGTAAATGCCATGGGCGAGTCTTGCGTTCGATCAACGAGAAAATCTTACAATAATCTGCCGAGCAGCGATTTGGCACAGCCACTAAAGTTTTGTCGGAAACGTCTTTAACGACTTGATTAACCGACGCGTCAAATAACGACATTGCTCAGTCTGACATACAGTATTAAATCTTTCCGAAAAGCTGTAGTTTTCCTATGATGTTTCACACGAAAAGTAAATCCTTTTGATTTTGTTCGGACCGAATACACAGAAGAGAACGATTATGTCAGATTTACTAATGTTTGACTTTATACTTCCGCGTTCCTGGAAATTTTCTGGCCTGCTTACCGCAAATTATTTCAATGCCGCAAACCTCTATTTTATAGTCACACCCTATCAAGTAAGCCCCCTCTCTAATAAGACTGGACCCCACATTTTACAGGGAGAAATTTAACCCCACCCCCCTCTATTAAGACACCCCTCCCAACCACTTCATAGAAGTTCCCGTTTTATAAGTTTACTGCATTTCGCACTTTATACTGGCTTGGGGTGATTTGGCCCCACTCTCCAATGGCAATAAGCCCCCCCCCCCACGCAAACATTAAATAATCCCCCCCCCTCCCCCACCCCACGCACTCAAGGGCTTAGCTAGTGGAGAATTTGCTGCAAATGTACTGCATTCTAATAGAGGCTAACTAGTAAAAAATAAGTATAAAAATAGTAAAAAATAGCTCATCAAAACACGTCAAAAGTAACAGAAAATTTGACAAAGTTGTTTTTGGCCCCTTTTTCACAACTTTAAAAATACTTTACAGCCTTTGCTGAACGCGTTTTTTTGCGTAAAAACAACCTACAAACATCTAATGTTACTAAAAAGTGCATCTAAAAACTTCTTAGACGTTTTGGGTGCAAAAAGAACTGTAGAACCATAGCTAGAACCACGGAACATCTATAGTAATTAGTATTGCATAATTACAGGTATAATTATACTTAGACCGTGATAATTATGCTAATATATTTCGTGACTGCGTGTAATGGAATTTAATATAAACACGCAAGATGGTGCCTCAGTGATGGTTGTTGTTTTTTTTGAGATGGAAAAAAATCCTATTTTTTTCTTTATTATATGTTTAAAAAGACAACCTGTTGCATTATGGAAGAAACAAGGAACTTCTAGTTCGATTTTATAGGACAAAATATGTATTTGAAGAGACGATACTTTCTGTTCATCTGCTGAAGAAAATTTGTGGCATTTGATTTCATGAATTTGTGAAATATGAATTTTGATTTTCAGGACGGCAGGGCTTACCAAAGGTTAGTGTAACTTTGAAACTTGATATGTTTAAAGTTTTTATTAATAAAGGCAGGAATTTACGTAGCATATGAGGGAAGTATGGTCTGTGCAAAATGTCAAAAGACTATTGTGCTATCATGGAGGGGGGTAGGGGTGGGGGGCAAGGAAAGAATTCAGCTTGCTCAAAAGTGAGTTGCTAGAGAGTTCAAGGTATGTGACATGGCTGGTTCAACAACATGATTTTGAAACAAAAGATATGTCATGCAAAACAAAAACTGTGATCCCATGTGTATCTGAATGGCTTTGTCATTCTCAACACAATGTTAAACTAAGCATTGTCACATCTTTCAAGCAACATGGAAACTTAATGCGACCCAAGAGGTTGAAATAATTACACATTGCATTGCTTTAGCTGAACTTAGATGTTCGTAAGGTTATTTGAAAAAGCTTCAAACATATGTTGCAGTAATCACATTGCTTCACGCTCATTTTTGTCTCTTGAGCTGAAATTCAGACCGCGTCGTTGAGCCGGTCTCGTCATAGATCTTAAGCTCTCTAATATCTTAGAAGGTCTTTCGTAACTTGGAATGAAGAGACTTTGTTGAAAATATTAAACTGTTTTTGATATTTTTCTAACCCAATATATTTCTTTGGTGGGAAATTACATCAGGGTTATGCCAGCTAGGTAGGTGCTCCAATATTTCAAAATATTCAACTATCAAAAATATTATAAAAAAGTACAAGTAAAACGTCAACATTTTGTGTGAAGGCCCAGTTCAGCTACTATCGAGCAACAACCCTTTGGCCGCAGGCGTTTCAACCAAAGGCCCTTCAACCCTTTTGCATGGCCGGATTTTGATGGAAATAGTGGGGGGAGTGGAAAAAAATTAGGAGAGGTGCAGCGGTCTTGCTCACAACTTCCACGGAAAGTTGGGGCTTAGAACGGGCCAAAGTCTCAATAGTGTACATATGTATCAGTGTATTAATTAATGAATTATGAATGAAGTTTATTAAAAAACATTGCATAAGAAGGGTACTTGACACAGAGCTGAATGGCTATCACTGTTTCAATTTTACAGAAAAACTCCCTCACGAAGTGTAGACCTTAGCTAAGCAACCAAAAAAAGTAAACTTTTCACTGTGATCAATCATTGAAATTTTCCTAAGGGGAGGTGCAAAAATTCTCAGGGGTGGTGCAAAACGATCTCAGAGGAGGTGCGCCCCTCCCCACACCTCCCCTCAAAATTCGGCTATGCCCTTTTTGCTACTAACTTCCTGACAAATGGCCTTCACTTAAAACATTGAAGTTCTATTTGTATTTTTCAGGTACTTGAATTCCCCTCTCAGTCTGCAGTTGGTGTTATTGTCACTACCTACTAGAGGTGTGCATCGGATCGGATTGGACGTTTATAATCCGACAATTGCCTAATGTTTAAAATCCGATCCGAAATTGTCTAATCCGAATCCGATTCGATCCGAGTATTGAAAAAGAATTCCGATCCGAAGAATTCTTTAATAAAATAAATTTCTCATTCAAGTTGAAATGTTTAACCAAATAAATATAAAAGCAAGAAATACATGTCAAGAAGCTGACAAAGTGACGTCCAATTAAAGTATCAAACCTACTCTACTACTTTTTTATCATTTTGTAGACATAAATGTTTCATTGGAGAAGAAATTCCTTTCACTAATTGCCTCCAGCCATAATGGTTGCAGCAAGTTCGTCGAGCTTTTCCTTCATATCCCCTTCTGTTGCCGTGTAAAAATCCACATCGACGCAAATACATATTGGGAAGTTCACTGGCGGATTCGTAAAGCGGAACACAATTATCCTGTTGTCGTTTTCGAAGTTGGTGCCCCTTTTTAAAGATTGGAGATCACAATCTGTCAACTTACATACAAGGACAACACGATCTTGGTTTAACCATTCTGAAATCCATGGTCGAATCTCGTTTTTCATGGATTCTGAAAAATGACCAGCGTCCGGGATTTGTAAGATCTTGACATTACTAGGAGCGACTTTTATACTGCCTGGTGGAGGGTAGGTGTTCAACGCATCACAGAAATTATCAGTTCCTGGTTGAGGTTGTTGAGAGTTTTTGTGTAAAACCAAAAGTCGGACGTGTTTTGTTTGCTCTTTTTTTGCTTTCGTTACCATCCTGGGCTTGTCTTTCGAAGCCTTTGACTTACTAGCTCCCATTGCTGTTGAAAAAAACACATCATTTGGCTCAATCCCCACATTCACAAGCACCATTTAACCCATCGAGTTGCATTGCCAGCCTTCGTAATTCACCTTGGCACTCAGCAATTGCCGAAGCAAATGCCGGGGCATATTGAAAATGTATAATTCTTACCTTACTTGGCAAAAACCCTAATTTTGCCAATGCAATAACGAGGGCCAACTGCAACCCACTCTGCCCTACTTTATCATTTGATTCTAATTGTTTTTCTCTGTGCTGTTAAATTGAAGCTGGCAAGGAATGTGCTGACATTTCATATTTTGACCTCAATTTAAAGAGTAACACTATGGTTTTATGAATCTAAAACTTAATCAGTTAACCTGTGAATAAGCAATGTGCCCCCAATGTACGTACCCCCAATGTACCATACTTTATTACTTTACTCTCTCTAATGCCAGATAATTTTACCAACTCATCAAACATCTAGAGTATTCTGCATGAATGGTATCCCCAGACAACTTTAACATAGCCAAAATGAAAATACAATTGCATCTTATTCAAACCCATTGAAGCTTCACATTCCAAGTGGTTTTTGATTGAAAGGAATTTAAAATGCCCTTAAACTATAATTACTAATCGCGAGCAAATACACTTAGCAAGAGTCTTCTATTTATCTAGAAACAGTTGCAAATATGATTTTGTACAGTGTACCATTAAAAAACGATATAAAAGACACACGTTTGATATACTATCAATTTAAAAACATTCGTAAAGCAGTCAATAGTTGTGACAGAGCACTGAATTGTCTTTAAATATGTTGCAAAATACCCAAAGTTACGCAACTGTTAACAATTCATCTCAATACCTGACATGTAGGGTGTCGTGTTACGTTCTTGATGTATTTATGTATCATTAAACCCCCCGCAAAAGGTCTTCAAAGCCAGAAAATTAACTACAACATTGATATTTGAACCAGCGTAAACAGTGTTTATCTAGAAGATAATTCAGTTATAACACCCTTACTTGCTCTCTGTATTCTTCCAACGAGCCAAAATGTTAATTGCACTTTTCTGTATGCCAAAGAGTTCTGTTTAGAACAGTGCCAGTGTTTGTAAAGCGACTATTTTTGTAGATTTTCTCAGCTTCAAAGTTGAATGGAAGAAAAGGCGTTGTTGCTATAAATTTCTGTGTTGTTGCGTTGTTTCACACAATTCAAACGTAATACGTCGGTGACGTCACGAGCGTTTTGAGCCCGCGTTGAACTTTTCGTAATGCGCGTTTCTCAGATTTTGCGGAGACTTTATAAGAGGTCATGCCCTACTGTATTATTGTCTGTTCTGCAACGATTTAATGCTTAAATTTGAGCACAAAAGTATAACTAAGCATTTAACTAATCATGCATGTGAGTGAATTGTGCGGCGACCGACGTTAGCTTATTAGACATAGGAGATGCAAGCGCCCGCAGCGAGATGTGAATTGCTGCCGTGCGCGGTTTGGAAAAGTAGGAAAACGCTATGTTAAACTTTGCAACTTTACCTATCTGTTTTCGCATAAGTTGCGCATCAAATTCTAAGTTGCGCGAATTCTACAGGGTGTGTAAAAAACGTCCGCAAATTTGTGAAAACTTTATGCAAACAAGGGTAGTTGCATGGGGTCTGCAAGTATCTTTACTACTAAAATTATTTTGAAAGTAAAATTTTGCGGAATTTGCAGTTTGGCGGACATTTTCGGGAACTGTGCGCATTTTTATACACCCTGTATAACCTGCTGTCGTCACTCCCGTGCGCAAATTTGTTATTGCGCGCGCGCTGCGCGCGAAGCATTGGGCCAGTACTTGTTATGTAATTGTTTGCAAAATTGTAACCAGGTATAATAATATCAGACGTGTTTCCCTATAGCATTGCCATTGGTTTTCAAAGATAATTTCTTAGTGAAAAGTGTAGTAACCTAGCACTGAAGGCGCAAATGCAATATAGTACTTGGCATCGTCAGTCGTTTAGGCGGTATACGCCGTGCATGTTTAAGGTTAAAATTGAACTGCAGAACAGATGGGAATTGATTGTTGAAGGATTGTGTAGATGTGAATTTTATCCACTTACAGACTTACTAAACCTAACCAGGAGCAGATGCGGAAAATGCAACTATAGGAATCGAACCTGCTGTCCTGCGATTCCGATGCAGCCGTCTAACCAACTGAACTACAGAGGCCAGCTGTCGAGTTCTTACCGCAAGTTCTAGTGGAAATGAAACTGATTCAAGCATTATACATACAAGACTTAGATTAGGATTCTGCGCACTTAATGATTACTTGTAGAGAATAATAAATTGTTGTAATTCTCCTTTGTGTAGGCTATATGTTTGGTCTTGAAAACATTACGTGGCCTCCTTTTTGCTGCTCAAGGCAATAAACTTCTTACCTCGCGCTCTGCTGCTCAAGTTTGTGGTCAAGCATAGCTGGCGAGCAACGACAGTTGTTTGGCGGTATAGATCAGCGTTTTATCTTGTCGTTTCTGCTTGTCAAATACTTTATCATAGTGTTCTTTTTTGTATTTGTCTTTGTTGTGTTTGATGCAATTATCGTATATATCCTTTTTCGTATTTGTCTTTTTTGTGTTTAACTTTGTAATTTTTATTTAAAAAAACTGTATTGTCAATGTGAGCCCCATTGATAAGCCTTGGCTTTCGGGGCAAACATATTAATAAATTAATGAAATTTATAGATAAAAATTGAGGGTTTCACAAGACGAATTGTTGAGATTAACCAGATGGAATAACAGAGTCTACATTTGGTGTTTGTCCTGAAACATACCAGACATATTATCAGACGAGCTTCGCTTGAAATGTCGAGGTTTTACTGTAATTTTCCTCGGGTAGCTCATAGACAAACGATTTTCGACTTTGTCTATAAGTTGTAGAATATTACATGTACCATTGCACATTTTTGTTTTAATATTGAGCACAGATATTCCACCATAGATAATACAATGGCAGACGTGCCAACTCTCACGGTTTTGTCGTGAGATTTTTGATGTTTTCTCACGGGAAGTATACTTGGCCCTCTTCTGTTCATCTGTATAAATGATTTGCCAAATTGTCTCGAACACACAACATCTAGAATGCTTGCAGATGATACCAGTCCAACAGCTGTGCTTGAAACATTGGATGAAGTAGAGCAGAGGACAAATGAAAACTTAATGAATGTCCGAAAGTGGGTTGTCTGCAAATAAACTTAGTTTAAATGTTGCGAAAACTGAGTACATTGGATCACGGCATGAGATAAATAATACGGATGCCCAACCTAGAGTTAAAATCGATAGCCAATCGATCAAAAGAGTGAAACATGCCAAAGTGGTTGGATTTCAGATTGAAGAGTATTGTAAATTGCGGGGAAAATATTGAATTTCTGCTCTACCCTTTCGCGCAAGTACATGTCCGCCTTGCGTACCTATTTTTCGTTTTTTGTGAACTTGTGTGCTCGTAACCAATATTAGTGGTACTGATCCAGTTTCTCGAGGTCACTGGAGCCACGGTTAATTTAGCTATCCAGGTATATGTGAGGTCAGTGTTGATGAACTGATATCCAGTCGACAGGAGTCAAATCCAGTTATGTTCATTGAACTATAAGTAAACTTATAGTTCAATGGTCATGTTTGAGGTTCATTCCCATCCAACGCGAGCGACTGGGGACGAGTCGGGGTCTGTGGCAGGGGCGTAGGAACGGGGGGGGGGCAGGGGGGCCATGGCCCCCCCAAGTTTTGGCAAGTGCCCTTTTTACAGCAGCAAAGTGCCCTTTTTGTGCCTGAAAAATTTTCATAAAATTCGCAGTTTTTGTCCAAACGAAACTTTTGAAAACTGTAATGTAGGTTTTTTCCCGAAAAATGTTTTAGTTTCCGATAAAAATATCATATATACGGTATGTTTTTGCGGAAAAAATTTTTAGTATTTAAGGAAAAATATGGTATACCCATGGTACCCCTAAAATGGTACACTGACCGAAATTTTTTTGGCGACGGGGGGGGGGGGGGGGGGAGGTCGCCAAAAATTTTTTTTGAGATGCCCTTTTTTTTTGAAAGTGCCCCTCAAAGCCTGCCCCCCCCCCCCAACTTTTCTAAGCTTCCTACGCCTGTGGCAACTCCATCTTTTAAACTGTAAATTATAAGTGCATAGATATAATGGGATAAGATTTTTAAGTCTCTGAAAATCTCTGCAATTTGGAGTTGCGTCGTCTTTAAATTGATGTTTGTGATGTTACTCTGAGTGTGCATCCACACCGGGCAAGCTGAAAAATTTGCTTGGCCACGGTGGGAATCGAACTCGCGACCTTTGGGATACTAGTTCATTGCTCTGCCAACTGAGCCTCTCTCCTCCGCATAGGCTTTAGTTTTCTTAGGATTTAAATATTTAATATTACGATGAGATACATTTGACTACACTTTACATGGCGGATCTTGGAACACGAGCGTAGCCGACTGAGCTACGTGGTCAAGTCGGTTCGAGTTGTTGATATTTCGGATATTTAGCTACATTATCAAGCAAACGTCTTTTCCTATATAACGTGAAAGATCGCATCCCACATCTCTTCTGATGAGTTTTAGAACGCTTTAAAGATAAGGAAGGAAGCGATTCCACTGTTGATAAATCTCTATTCAGACAATGTTATCGTTTCCCCACCGATAACTAGAAACGGTAAAAACCTCTTCTACTATGTTAATACCAACAAACTAAACTGCTCGCCATTGGCATCACTTGCATAGAAATTATAAAAGAGTTTATTCTTTTATAACACCTTTGTCTTTGATCATTTATGCATGGTGCACCATCCAGCGTTAGTCTTCAGGTCAGTGATGCCCAATCCAGCGGGGCCGGTGAAATGGAAAAACAGAGCAAATATTGAAAAATTATGCATGATAGAATAATCTCGAATCCACAACAAATGTTCAAATTTTACAGAAGAGAGACGCGCCCTTCGCGGTTATGGCCAATATGGGAAGCTGTGAGAAAATCTTCTGAGCAAGATATTTTTGCTAAAGCATTGACATGAAGAAATCTAAAGTACCTCACAAGTTAATTCCAACGGAGGAGAGAGAAATGAGTGTGCAGCAAACACCTTCTACTTCAAACTCTGCAGCCGAGTTCGAAGAAGACGAACCCGATAAACAGTTCTGGCTAGAGGTAATTGTTCATGCTTTGCTCGTGTTGTTTGCTTGTGTTAATACTGTTATTAGATAAAAGAAAGGTTTATATTCGTTTATGGGGTTTGGTTCGAGGTTTGGTTTCAACTTGACAATTACATTTTTTAACATAACTGGCTGTTCATTTCTTATCTTTTGATCGATGCACGTGTTTTGTAAACTTTTGTTAAACAGTAAATTTAGTCACTTATAAATATACAGTACTACTAGTTAATAAACTAAGTTAGAGTTATACACTGGTACTAGCTCTAGAAAGGGCGTCATTTATATAGTTGGTCTTTTGGTTCATGGAGTATCCAGAGAAAATCCATGTGATGTTTCGTAGATTAAAGAGGTCTCACTTCTTAACTTCAACGTAAGGTATTTTTCCAGTTTGCCATGTTCTTAGGACCAAGAGCCTGTCACCCCCTGAAAACATATTGAAATTTAATGTTCCAGGGGGGTGAATGCCTGTTTTTAGGTATACGCAGTAATATTGTAAAAACTACCTTAGGGGCCATTCACAAAGGATGTCCGGCCAAATGATGGATTTTCAGACCCCCCCCCTCCCCCCTTGTCCGGCATTGTCCGAATTAGTGATCCCCCTCCCCCCGGACATCCGCCATGCCTTGCAAAAACTCACACAATCTTGTATATATCAAGAGTAAAAAACTTTTACTTTTAGAACTTTTTTATAACTGTAAATGTGAACACAAAAACATATAAATTACTAATTAAAACAAAATCTAGTGTTAACCGCATAGTCAAAATGCCAATTTCACAATGGGAAGGACTGCTCAAAATTGAGGGAAAAAAGACATTTGTTTTTGATTTTTTTTGAATTTCGGACATCCGGATTGCTAAAAACCCCCCCTCCCCCCCTATGTCCGAGTTTGTCCTGATTTTCCAAACCCCCCTCGGCTCGGACATCCTTTGTGAATGGCCCCTTACATTTTTCTCGCGAAGTGAGACCTCACTCTGGTCAAACTGTTCTCATGTGTGACTGAGGTGAAATTATAATGGATAGATTTCCTGGTGGGGGGGGGGGGGTCTTGCAGGAAGTGCCCCCTGCCTATCCTTGGAAAATGGGGTGCCAATTTTATTATCAAATCCCAGTGTCCCAATCATGTGATTGAGGTGTTTCATGTGTAATAGAATAAATTGTAAAATATGCAGTATAAAATATTTGTTTTTAAATAAAATTTACTTGCCTATAAACTGGTAGTTTGTATTCTCTTTGTATTCTCTTTTCAGCGGCATAGCTTTGTGGTTGCAAGCATCGAGTGCAAATTCCAGCTAGTTCAGGGTGTGTGTGTGGGTTTTTAGAGGTTTATCCAAAATAGGGGAAACAGATAGTTTTCCCTAAAAAAAGTGGTCCCTTAGCCCTTTCTGGTAAAGGAATTACCCCCCCCCCCTCCCCCCTTTCACATAAACCCAACCTTTTAAGAGGGTTTTGATGGGGTATATTGTGAGTCATGATTCACTCAATGTCGGTTACCATCAGTTGTGAAAACACTAAAAATTTAGCGTGAACCGTGAGAAAAAAATACTGTTTATCATTTCAGAACATGTTTCAAAGATTTACACTAACTGTTAAAATACCAAAATGTTATCATGGGCGTACGGGAAGGAAAAAATTAGGGGGGCGGAATGAAATGTGCCCGACTTTTTCGGATTGTGCCCGAGTTGTCAAAAAAAAATTTCCTGAGAAACTTTACAAAATTGTTGTCGACGGGGGAGGGGGGAGGAGTGATTACAAAAAGATATTTCCAACAAAATTGACAGAATTTCCCACAAAATTGACAGAATTTGTCCCATTTATTTTTATAATAAGCCAATATTGCCCGACTGTGAAGCGAATAGGACAAGACCCTAGGATACATTCGTAGATCAACGTTCGACATCAAAGACATCGCAGTTCGCCGACTCTATACTTATACAGAAAGACTTCAACGACGCGCGACTAAGTATGTCTTGGATCTACCCTTCCGTTGTGAAACTACATTCCATTGAGCTACTGGCATGAATTTCTGGACATGGTTGTGTTCTACAAACTAATTCGTGGACTCATGAGAATTGACGAACATTTCCTGCCTCAACCAACAAGTGTCAACAGCCAAAGGGAAACAAGATCATCCGATCCTGACCATTTGTCATTCACGACAACACGATGCAAGACAACCACATTCCAAAAGTCCTATTTAAATAGATGTACCAGAATGTGGAATGTACTGCCAAAGAACTTGACAGGCAATAAAACCAGCCTTAGTCAGTTAAAAAATGGACTTTTCATGTACTATAAAGTAGCATTACAAACTGTCTACGACGTGGATGATCCAAGAACATGGAAATCAATATGTTTGTCCTGTAACAAGTCCCGTAATCTGTCCTGTGAAGTATCGTGTTGTTATTAGACAATAGTTTAATGTTTGTGATGTTGTATCTTATATGTAAGGGCCGCTGTAATTGGTGTAAGCTGTAGCGTGTTCCCTGCCATTGTCCATATATGTTTTTTCTGTGTTTTAATGTTTATTGGCAAAGTTAAATAAATAAATAAATAAATGAATATTGCCCGACTGGCTTTGTTTGCCCAACAAACGGGGGGGCT